CCCCCCCCCCCCCCCCCCCCCCCCCCCCCCCCCCCCCCCCCCCCCCCCCCCCCCCCCCCCCCCCCCCCGCCCCCCCCCCCCCCCCGCAACCCACATTGATAGGCTGTAGCTGCTGGTATGTATCGTAAAAACCCCATCCACCAAGTACTTCTGTCCCCGACCCCCTCGGACTCGACAACTTTCAAATATTTTGAAAAATGCTACGGAGTACTCAGTATATTGTACATACAACATTGAGGTCTCTAGGTTTAGGCACACACACACAAATCTTGATGGGTATTCTAGTGTCCAAGATTGCGCTATGCGAATCATTACAGCCTACAAATACGGAGCATACATGTCGAATTCATAGGCCTGGATGCTTGCAGGCATACCAAAATAGAAACCAATCGGTGCCGAGCCACGTGAATTGTCCAAACCTGGTCGAGCACGCCCTATATCAGGAACCGAAGAATTTCCTCTTCTCAAATGAGAACCAGTCCGGAGTAGTTCCCCCCCCAATAACATCTCAAATGACCGCAAGTACCCATTCCAATGCTACAAAATGGTGCGATGGTGAACGTTGGGAATGCTTAATGACCAGAAGCAGCCCAGGTCTGAATCCAGCCGTCGACAGTATGCTGGATAGCCTGAGCAGAGGCCATGGTAGCTCGGTGAGCTTCATCGAAGGCCTCCATACACCTCTCGAGTTCCTGGAGGTTGTCCCGAAGTTCGCGGGCCCAGACACGGTGGACGGACATGGTGGCAGCGGCCTGAAGAGAATCACCCGAGAGGTCAAGGGCCAGGGCTACGTTCTCGGAGGCGGCGGAGGTCTTAGCACGGCGACTGTGCGTGGTGTATTTATTGGCCATCGGCTTCTCCTCGGCCTCCGAGGGCACGGAAGAAAGCTCGTCGCTGGAGTCGGCAGGAGCGGGACTCATCTCCTATGTTCTGTGTGTTAGCTTTACGACAATCCAAACCAGAAGTCAACGGCAGACCTGTCAGTACCTTCGTTGTGGCATCAGCGGTCTTACGTCGCCCTCTGGTGGAGGAACCGGCAACAGCAACAGGGACTGGAGTGGACGCAGGCGTCAGAACAGTAGCGGTAGCGGAGGGGGCAGACATGCTGGCTGAGACGGCTTCGACTTTCGCGACCTTCACAGGTTGGTTACGGTGAATGCACCGCTTCTTCTTGGCCTTACAGTCAGCACAGGCAGGGTTATCGCTAGGCATCTCAGTATCAGGCACTATATGAACGTGTCCGTGGTCAGTATTTAGTTGGGATAAGGCAGGTCAAGGGATCAGTTTTGAGGGAAGTTACTTTTGCTAATGAGATAGAATAAGATGGTGAATGAAAGTTGTGACAAGTTGGTAGAAGTGAGGGTTCTTTCAGGCAGGCGACAACCAGAAAGCACAACAAAATCTCAGGTCAAGCAAGTTTCAGCACTAGACACTGCTCAAACAAAGATCCTATGCAAACTACCAACATTTCGCTTGACCGTTTTTGGTACTCTATTGAAGCCTATAGATATACACCCTTATAACCTAAGATGAAAACATCCAACGTATGTCATGCAAATATCAAAATAAGACAGCGATTACACATTTTTTGGATACAACTTATCCAGGAGAACAAGTGTCTTTGCAATATTGGTAGAATCACGGCCACAACTCGGCTTCATCCCACCGAGAACCATCGCTTCCGTCAATCAACGTCCAGTTCCATCTTTTGCCGTTCTCTTGATCAGTAAGATCTAAACACTCAACCTCTTCGGGCCGAATGATGACGACTCGGAAATTTGCCCGTGCAACAGGGTCATGAAGGTCCAGAACTTTTTGACCTAGCTTGAGATCTAGTTGGCTAGGAGTTGAGGATCTAGGTTGTCCAGGGGGAGGGGATCGGAAGAAACCTAGGTTCCCAGTCAGTATGAGCAGGCGATGACAGGCGAACGGGTTTTTCAATCGGCATAAGAGCAAGGCATAAAGCACTTGCGCCCAAGAATCAAGATAGAGACCACATACCTCTTGCGATAGGGGAGTGATTTGCAAAATACTTTGTGACAGCCTTTTCCCATGTCCATTTCGCAATGTCACTGTCATTATTCCCCTTTACTCTCAATCCCTTTTTTATCTCAGTTCGGGATAGCTTCTCTTCCTCTGTATCTTCTCCACTTGGGTTGCCAATTGCATATGCCGTCCCCTTGACACGCCACTGAGTCATGAGGTCCTTCAGCCAGAATACAACCTCAGTCGCATGACCCGAGGACTCCAGTTGAGGAAGCTTGTCCATCCGAGCATCAGTGGTAAATGACAGCATGTCACTTTCGAATACAGGTGGATTAGCACCGCCTTCCACCTGCTGATCCATAGCTTCCTGGCCCTTAGCGTTGAGCTCGAGTTCTGGGAAGAAACCACGACAGGCGCAAGTCCGCAGGCGAGGTACAGGATGCTGTTGAGCATTGTAGCCAATTGTTGCAATTGTGAATTCACATCCAGGTGTTTGCTCGATATGAGAGCCAAGGAGATCGCGCCATGGGGCACGTGGCGGACCTGATGGTGCGCTCATTGTGACAACCTTTGTTGAGAGACTTCCACTATCTACCTTGATTGCACTAAGTCGTCGTAGGGCCACCTGCAGAGAGCTCTGATGGCTGATAGAGGTAGAAGCTAGAACCATATGCACGAAGATCTTGGCCTCTTTCTCTTGCAAACGCCGATGATCGGATTGGTGGGGATAGAGCTAATAGGGAATTCAGCCTTCAAGATAGGATGATGGTAAGGAGAGAGTGTCGATTGGTGTTGTAAGTACAAATATTAGGATGTTGTACGAAGCAAACTTGGGGTAGAAATAGAGATAAAAGAAGAGTGGCAGGCCCACGGTTGATCGATGTTGGTGACATCACATTTCGGTGGTCCGTGCGTAAATGTGTGCAGCCTCCGTTGTGGAGATTGACAACTGCCAACCAAAAAGCCCGGCCTCACGGATGCAATTGATAGAAGTTGCAATGCATCGGATTCAAAGGATATGCATCTGGAAGAAATTGACAAATGAACGCCGACGTAAAGTGGCGTTGGCTGTCAATCGGCCAATCCTTTCATCCTATCTCTACTCAACAAACAATTCCAATTCGGCCAGGCAGTACTCAACAGCACAAAATGCTCCTTGCGCGATCCCAGCAAGCCAACTGGAATCAAAAACCCATCCACTAGGGTGGGAATTGATTCAAGCTCAGGTTGAGCCTTATTTTGGCGACAATTGGAATTTCCCTAGTGAGAAGGAGAAAAAGGGGTTCCTTGGTCTTGGGTTATCCCGCGCCTTTAGTCACTTTTTCCCTCTGACGCTATATGATCGCATTGATGTGACAGGCAAAATGCTTTACTTGTCATTACTAATTGACGGTGAGTTCTGATAGCCGGAGACTGGGTTCGGCCATTTATTGACTCTCGAGATAGACCAACTTGAAAAAATGAGTTTTACGCAAATGCTGTCGTATCGAGACCGACTCATGAAAGTTGCCCTTGGAGCAGCGAGCCCAGACAGATGTATCTGTCTTGAGTGGATGCTTCACGATACTGTCATGGCCATGCGAAGTATGGACGAGGTTCTGGCAAATGATGTCGCCCAGGGATTTTGTCAGCTTCTGCAAGCCCAGACGTCCCAGGAGAGAACCACAGCAAACACTCTCGGGTCATACCTCAAATTCAGGGAGACAGATGTGGGCAAAACGTATGAATTACTGTCGCTGTTCATTTTCAGACATTCCTGATGAGTACTGACGGCCATTTAGACTCTACACAGCCCTCATTAGATTTGGTGCCAAGCTCGATCTCACTCCCACCGCACTTGAAAATACAGCCGCTTTGGAAAGCACCGCATTTAGGCATGTCAGTGTTATGAATGATATCTATAGCTGGGAGCGAGAATGGAAAGTATACCAGGAAAACCCAACCGATGGTGCCCAGCCATTCTCCGCCATCTACATCCTTGCGAACGAGACAGGACTACCATATACAGCCTGCAGACGATTAATGTATAGCTATTGTCGGGAATTGGAGCTCGTTTTCAAACAATCCAGCGTTGAAATCCGACACAACACCATGGAAGGCTTGACACATGAACTAGAGATGTACATCAAAGGTCTAGAATACTTCATGTGCGGCATTGAGTTATGGAGCCAGTGGACTCCACGATATCGACAATAAAGCCTCATTTTCAGGATCAAGTCTTAGTAGCCCGGCTCTTCTCATTTGTTTACCCCCTGTCGTCTATCCCATATATGATTGTACTCACTTTTGCTAAAAGCTTAGCTTGACCGCGTTGTAGGTGATTAACTGATATTATACTGATATAAGATTAAATCTTACGTACTTCTAGACAATAGCCTATTCCTAAGCTTCCTCGTTTTTGGCTTCCACCGGCTGTCTCTCAGTTCGATGGCCCTTGAATGCGTATATCATACTGAGAAACATCCCCAGCCCACCAAGACCAACGGCTAAATATAATGCGCCCCTATATCCTTTCAAGACATCGCTGGGAGTGTAACCTCCATTGTTGACGTGAACTTCCACGGTACCAGCGAATCCCAAACTCAGCGAGATGCTGTAGTTGACAATAGTAGTCACCAGTGACGCAGCGACACCCTGATGCTTGCGCTCGACCGCATTCGACAACATCAGAGTCGCTGCAGGGAACGACATATCCATACCCCAAGGGGTAACTAACAAGCAAACAAATGTCAGTCCCCAATACGTTTGGTGCACCGGTGCAATTGCTATAAGAACATTGCCCACTGTGAAAGCAGTCATCGACAACACCATAATCAGCGCAGGGCGCATGCGGCCCATCAGCCAGCCGGTGACAACACATGCCATGATACCCACTGGGCCGACGGGAACGAACTGGGCAGAGGTCAGGAGAGGAGTCAACTGACGGAACTTCTCTTCGAATCGCCAGAAGTAGTAGATCCAGATTCCGAATGAGCCCCAGCCACAAGCAACACAGCCAAGGACAAACGAGACATCGGGACTGAATGCGTGGAACGGAATGAGGGGGTTTTCAGAGACTCGGAATTCGACATAGAAGAAGGCAGCGAGCAACAAAATTCCAACTATCAGAAGGACATACACGTAGGGCTCGCTCCATCCCACGATAGGCGCCTGGTTCCATGCAACGTTCACAAGAACTAGGCCGCCGATACCGCAAACTCCACCAAGCGCATCGAGAGCTTTGAGCAGGCCCAAGAAGGATTTCTCAAACTTAGCGTCGTGATGAATGGATGGGATCACGAGCAGGCCTACTGCAGCGCAACAGAGAGCAACGATAGCCTGGGTCCAATATGCCCAAGGCCACCAAGCCAATTGAGAAAATATTGCGCCGAAGACAGCTCCCAAAAGGGCACTGTTTGGGGCAGCGGCACCGAAGATGGCGAAAATCATATTCTTTCTCTTTCCTTGTGGGTACGTGGCTCCAAGAATAGCCAATGCGTTTGGCATCAGCAATGCGCCACCGATGCCTTGGAAAACACGTGCAAAGATAAAGAGAATATAGTTCGAATAGACGCTAACACCTGCGACAAGAGACCAAAGCGCAATCCAGCAGAATCCAATAATAAACATTCGACGATAACCGAACAGATCGCCGCACCGGCCAGACACCAAGATGAATGTGCCAACGGTCAAAGAGTACCCAGCCATGAACCAGCTCAAGATGCCGGGATCGTCGATACCAAAGCTATCACCGACAGTATCAAGCGGCGAAAGACATACTCCGACATTGGTTTGTGTCATAAATTGACCCATGCAAACAATGGCAACGAAAAAGACCTCGTGGATGGGCGAGAAAGTCGAAGCGAGTGAGCGCGCCGACTCGACCGGCTTTAGATTGATACTGTCGGCCCCCATGATCAATCTTTATACAACCTTTTCAGGTATTGGGAGAAGGAGTGAATAATATGAAATGGAAGATTTGAGTCGCCGGTAGTTCTTTTTGAACCCATCTCCCACCTTTTTGGCCACCAGTCCTATGGCGTTAAAAATAAAACCGGGGCTTACGCAAAGTTTGATGATGATTGGCCTGGTTAAAATTCACAGCCAACACCTATCAATTTGATCCACTATGAACCGCAAAAGATAACAGTGGCTTCGGAGAAGTTGGCCTGAATCATATCAGCAAGATGAACGCTAAAGACTCTTAGGCACTAAAATTGGAAGTGCCGTTCTAGTGCTCGTGATATATGAGTGTCGGAAAAATCGGGAACGAAGTCATTCTTCATTGAATGATGTTGGGTCACAGAATCTTATATATCCGAGCTCTCGGATATCCGGCAATACGTTCTTTTTACGCGATAACAATGCACAATACTTTTGTTTCTCTGGATGTTGCCTATGTTGTATACATCTTCAAAAGACAAGAGCTTCATATTCGATAGATTTTCTTAGAATCTCCTAAAAGCTCCATTACCCGACTAATAAGACAACTCCGAGTTCCAGACTATTGACGACATAGAACATCAAAGATGACTTCTCGTAGCTTGGCTAACTCCAGAAAAGATGCGATCAACTGAGTAAATATTGTTATTGATGATTCTCCAACTTCATTAAGCCTTCTAAATATCTCCATGAAGACAATGGAACAAAACACTGATGCTCTAGAAGCCGGGAGAAACTTCTCTGCAAACGGCCAAAGATAGGTCTACTAAGCTGTATGAATGAAGACATTCACAAGCTCAAAATGTGCCTGAATGCATCTTTAATTAATGTCAGTCGATGAGAGATTACCAGGTTATAGAATGTCGAACGAAATGAACTTATATTAGGGTTAACCCATAATCTAGCTAAGCGTAAAACCCTTGAACCGCGGGAGCAAGGTTCATACGACGGAGAGCACGAGTTGCAAACCCTTGGAAGTGATCAATATCAAAGTCAAGTGGAGAATTAGGATTTCCCATCCTTGACCTAAGACGGTCGCGTCGTTTTATAATGACTCGTTTGTTGATCGTGGTAGGATTGTGAGGGAACATGATCAATATATATTTTCGGTAATTAGTGGGTAAAATATAAATTGAATATCGTTAACATACCTCACGTTCTTCGTGTTTCGAAATACGGTCTCAGTTGCAATGTAGAGCTCAGCAACGTCAGAAACACGATTCCCTATGACCTCGACCATTTCACAACCACTTTTACCTGCGGTACCTTTCGATATGCTCGTCTAATTTAAGGTTAATGCCTGGGGATGATAATCAATGATCGACGGGATTAATCGAAATCTATATTGTACATATTCCTTAGTTTTGGGTTGGAATCATATGACGGTTATGGACACATATTTGCTAGGCTCAAGATGGAGATGCCGGTATGCCTTCAATGTCAAGACTGGCCCAATACTCACAATGAAGTCTCCAGTATGATATTATTGAGGAAAACCAACATTTACATACCTTTTGTATGGTCTACCTGGTAAAAGGTACTCTTTCAAATGGGCGAATCATGCAAGGCCGGTAATATGTTAGAGCCGAGTTTATTCCAAGAAAGTTGTCGATGCCTAGTGTCGAGAACTGTTTCTCTATAGACTGTTCGTCAACCACGATATTGTACTTTGTACATTGGCAGAGGACATAAATCTCCACATTGTATCCACAAGTGACGCCACTCGGCTGACTCGGAGACTCTGACATTTTACGGGCCGAGAATACCGCCGTTCATAATTCTCTTTTATCAGATCGGTTTCTTTTATCAGATGAAAATTAGTACAACCTAAAGTTCTCTAAAAGGACCCTTAAAATCGGAGAAGTAGTCAATCTGAGCATGGTGACCCTAGACATAGGATATTACTTGGCATTGCACAGCCCGTGGATATAGTATCCCCATCTGTTTTACTCAAACAGCTTGTAGAAGCAAGTGAAACACGAAGCCGGGTTCCGGTTACCTTGTCTTAGGCATATACTAGAAGTAGGCAGTGCGAAACTCTGAATAAGATCGGCATACGATTATCAATCCAAGTTCTTCCAAGGTGGGTCATATTTGTTCCTGACTAAGAATGAGTAAGATTTCCAAGGTTAATGCAGCCATCGAGTGGATCTGCTGGCGTAGATTTTGGCAGCAGATAGGAGTAGACATACTACTACAAGAAGTTTAATAGTCCTACCGGGGCTATAGCGGGAAAACCACGGAGATTTCAGGTGCTAAGATTATCCATTATATCCACAATTGCAACCTTAGAAGGGTCTACTTCTCATTTCGGCCTCAGCCCGTTAGGCTTAGACTTAGATATACGGTTTCGGGATGAATGGGATACCTGGTAGACAGTGGGTTCTTCTGTTTTGCTCTTTATTCCGGAGTAACAGACACGCAGATCGCGTGTTGGGATTAGTCTGATCTGACAAAGAGTTCCGCCATGTTCCTGAATACAAAATGGACCACGATGCTTGTAAATCATATTGTGACCCGAAGTATAAAACATCCGTGTAGCCTCGAGACAAATTGTTAAAGAAATCACAGCTTTCGTTGTATCGCTCAGGCTACTCACTATTGAATCTTCTCCCTTAGAATCAAATATCAATCATGCGCAGCCTCATCGGCCTTGCACTGCTTCCACTAGCGGTTGCAGTTCCCCACACCTCACAAAAGTCAGAGTCGACTTACGACTACATCATTGTTGGAGGTGGCACCAGTGGCCTCGTCGTTGCAAACCGATTGTCCGAGAAAAAGGACACCACTGTCCTGGTGATCGAAGCCGGCGGCTCCGTTTATAACAACCTAAATGTGACCGACACTCTCGGATACGGCAAAGCGTTTGATACCGACATTGACTGGGCCTACAAAACGATAGACCAAGAATATGCCGGTGGTTCCCCACAAACAATACGTGCCGGAAAGGCACTCGGAGGAACATCGACCATCAACGGCATGGCGTACCTCCGTGCCCAGGCAGCTCAGATCGATGCGTGGGAGACCGTCGGAAATAAGGGCTGGAACTGGAAGACTCTGCTCCCCTACTTCAAAAAGGGCGAACACTTGCAAGATCCGGCACAGTACCCATTCTTGGATGGATCCGGTGTTGCTTTTGATCCGGCCTACCACGGCTTTACTGGACCACTGAAGGTTGGCTGGTCTTCAACACAGTTGAACGACGGCCTTGCTCAGAAATTGAACACTACCTATCAGAACCTTGATGTTCCTGTTCAGTACAACCTGGACCCCAATGGCGGAGATATGGTTGGATACAGCTTGTATCCCAAGACGGTTGATTCTGAGCTCAATATCCGTGAGGATGCTGCTCGTGCCTACTATTATCCCTACCAGAACCGAAACAATCTCCTTGTCTGGCTCAACACACACGCCAACAAGATTACCTGGAAGAATGGCCATGAGGTCACTGCGAATGGTGTCGAGGTCACTTTTTCCAATGGCACAACCACCGTGGTTAAGGCTACTCGTGAAGTAATCCTCGCTGCTGGAGCATTGAAATCTCCCGTTCTGCTCGAGCTTTCCGGCATCGGAAACCCAAAGTAACCATAACACCTCCCCGTTCAACATCTTATCAAGGCTAACCAAAAATCACTCACTAGCATTCTTTCCAAGTACGGAATCGCCACCAAAATTAACCTGCCAACTGTCGGCGAAAACCTGCAGGACCAAATGAACAATGGTCTCCAGTTCGACTCGAAGAAAACCTACAGCAGCAACAAGAGTGCCGACTACGTCGCCTACCCCTCAGCATCCCAGCTCTTCCCCAACTCCACAGCGCTCGGAGCCGAGCTTCTTCGCGAGCTTCCCGCTTATGCAGCACAGGTTGCATCCGCCAATGGCAACATCACCAAAGCCCGCGACATATACCGCTTCTTTAAGATCCAGTGGGATCTGATCTTTAAATCTGGTATCCCTGTTGCGGAGATCCTGTTGTCGGCCTCTGGAACCTCGTATAGCAGCGAATACTGGGGGTCTGTTCCGTTCTCTCGCGGCAGCGTTCACCTCTCTTCCGCGGACCCCACCGCGGCGGCTATCATTGACCCCAAGTACTTCATGCTGGACTTTGATCTACATTCTCAGGTGGAGGCGGCGCGGTTTATTCGTGAGATTTTCAAAACTGAACCATTTGCTGATATGGTTGGTCCTGAAACCAGCCCCGGTCTTTCTACTGTTGCTGCTGGTGCTGAAGATGAGGGCTGGGCTGATTTCATCAAAGGTCAATGTACGTGTATCATTCGCGTTTCTGGGAGATTTGTGGAGGGAATTTTATTATTAACCTTTTATTTGACTAGACCGATCAAACTTCCACCCGATCACCACAGCTGCCATGCTTCCCAAGGAGATTGGTGGTGTTGTCGACTCGTCGCTGAAGGTTTACGGAACCTCGAATGTTCGTGTTGTGGACGCTTCCGTCATGCCTTTCCAGGTTTGCGGTCACCTTCAGAGTACCGTCTATGCGGTTGCTGAGCGTGCGGCCGATATCATCAAGGCGTGCTCCTAGAGGAAAAATGGTATGCAAATTGTTACAGCCTCTGTCCCTGCATATATTAAGGTTGATCAAGGTAGAAGGATGATATTGCTACACAGGGTAACAATGACCAAGTTCAACTCCGAAAGGTGTTCTCTCTTCATAACTTTGTGTATTGGCCTGCTTGTTCCATCTGGGATCCTACTGTTTATATTATGCGGAAAATCAAGCCAAATATCATATTAACCTCCTCGGAATACTTTCCAAACAAATATAAACAATTATTTACCATACATATCGAAATTGTCGGTCTTGTTTATCCGTGATATCTGTCTGTGGCAACCCATTTTCGTCCAATTTGACCTCTTCATCCACACTGACAACACCTGAACTGGCAGCCCGTTTATCACGCTGCTTATTGTCTCGGATGCACAAGAAGCGGAATAAAATCACAACCACAAAAAGCAGACACCATGTTACAATGGATGTTATCACACCCTCCGTATAACGAGGGCTGTGGGTCCATAGTTGAGGCGAGGCAATGCAGGCAGCACAGTAACCAATGAAAAACATGCCGTTCACAACAGCGCGCTTGGTATTTCCCTTGAAATTTGAAGCCGCAAGTGAGAGAAGTGGTGTCATGGATGCCGTAATGCATGAAGACTGCGGAAAACTGGGTTAGCAACGGAAGAATGACCTGGTCAATAGAAATACATACCAGCCACGAGGCAACAATAAGACCCCATTGAGCAGTCACGTCCAACTTCAGCAAGAAGACAGTCCCAATCAGAGGCGGGATAATAAGAACAAGAATGACTAGCGTTCGCTGATTAGGGAAGATAAATACTAAGCCGACACCGATCCACAGGAAGGCAACTTGAACAGCGCCCGATGGAGCCGTATATAGCATAGTCTCAAGGTTAGTATAGCCGATCGACTTGATCACAAGAGATGCAAAAGTCAAAACCGGCGACTGCATGCATACCAAAACACCAAACCAAAAGACAACCCATGCCTTGGGGTCCATTATTGTCTCTTTGAGCTGGGCAACGGAAAAAGAGGCCTTGTCACCACCATCTCGATCCTGTGCCATGCGTAGCGAAAGGACTTCCCTCTCGCGGGCATTCAAAAACCAAGCATCTTTCGGCCCGTTTGGCATGAAGAAAAAGAATGCCACGCCTGCGGCAGAGGTTATCGCGCCGCAGATGATAAATAGCACGCGCCAGGGAGCGATTGGAAGCGAGTTGTTTTTACCAATGCCATACATAAGGGAGCAGCCTATAACCTGTGCCAGACCATTCATAGATATCCATAATGCCGTGCGGACATTGTGTTCTTTCTTTCGATACCAGATACTAGTGATCGTCACGAAAGCAGGCGAGACAGCGCCTTCGCTGAAGCCGAGTAGAAAGCGCACGGTGGCAAATCCGGCGAAATTGTTTGGTGCTGCGAGGCACATGCATATGATGCCCCAGACAATTCTGAATTGGTGGTTAGCGCATGATCAGGACAGATATAGTAGTACCGCAAGAGTAAACGTACACAGTCGCACCGACGAATTTGGTCAATGGGAGCCGGCTCATTAGATATATAAATGGATATTCGGCGACTAGCTGGCCGACATAGAAAATTGAGCTTGACCATGAATATTGCGAGCTTGTCATATTGAGGTCTTGAATTAGACCGAAGACACCAGCATAGCTGAGACTCTGCTTATCAATATATTGCAGGAAAAAGACGAAGCACATCTGGAAGTATGCGTCATTAGCCCGAAAAAGATCCCGAAAGACAGCTTGAAGCACTCACAAAAGGCAAAATGACCAAGTCAATCTTGCGCAGGACGGTGTTCTCTTCCTCCGCAGTGTAACTCCCCTGAAGCTCGAGAATTTCGCCATTTGATTGATCGGCATTGTCGCTACTCGCAGCACGCTTCTCCAAGTTGTCCATTAATACAGGTGGGATTGAAGCCCCTTGATATATACGGATGAGATAATTGGATTTCGGCAAAACAAAACAGTCAAAGAGGAGGAATGCTCAAGTTTGCAAGGGAAAAAAAAGCTGATATGCCCCGGATTTCCCACCGGCTATAAAAGAAGGCTTATCTTCGATTGTCGGTGATATGATTGATATGCGGAGAAGTGCATCGGTCCGATGGCATCGGGAATCTGTCGACCAACTTCCCGACAAATGTGAGAGACCCCCGCAAAGTGATTTCTTTCAGCTTTCAAATTTAATATTTAAACTCGATATCTTGGCTTATCAGCATCATCTCACCCCAAGCCGAATATGTCACAAACCACCCTCCCGGGCTCAGACATCAAGCCATGGATACGCCCTGCACCACAGGGATACAAATTCATCAATGCCAACATCGTCGATGTCGAAACAGGCACAATCAAAGCAAACACAACCCTCATCACCACTGAGGGCAAAATCACCTACATCGGCTCAGAATCATCCATCCCAGCTTCACCAATCAGCCTCAAAACGGTAGACTGCCAAGAGAAATATCTCTGCCCCGGTCTATTCGATGCCCACGTACATTTATGCGCAGTTCCGGGCTATAGTGACTTATCCAAAGCCTTCGGCAATCCGAATGACGTACACCTTTTGCGCCAGCCTTACACAGCCTCGCAGATGCTGCATCGCGGCTTCACCAGCATCCGCGACTGTGGCGGTGCCCAGCTCGCCTTGAAGGAGGCAATTGAAGACGGTGTCTTCCCTGGCCCGCGCGTTTTTATCGCAGGCCATGCTCTCTCGCAATTTGGTGGACATGGTGATCTGCGCGGCCCGCATGAGGCTACGGAATGCTGCGGCGGCACTCACGACAATAACCACCTAGGCCGCATGTGCAACGGTGTGCCGGAGTGTATTGCTGCTGTCCGTGAGGAGATTCGACGCGGCGCCGACTTTATCAAGATTATGGGCTCCGGTGGTGTGGCTTCGCCAACGGATAAGCTAGAGCATCTGCAGTTTACAGTGGCGGAGATTCAGGCGATGGTGGAATGTGCTGATAATGCCGGGACTTTTGTCACGGCCCATGCCTATACTGTGAAGGCTATCCGGCATTGTATCGATAATGGTGTCCGTGGTATTGAGCACGGGAACTTCGTTGATGCACCCACTGCCAAGCTCATGGCCGAGAAGGGGGTCTACTTGACGCCTACGCTTATCGCATATGCTCAGATGGCTTCTGAGCGGTGGAAGAACTACCTGCCTATTGAGTCCCAGACAAAGAATTCGATCGTGTTAAAGTCTGGTCTTGAGGCTTTGAGGGTTGCCTCGGAGGCTGGTGTGACTATGTGCTATGGCTCTGATTTGCTGGGTCCACTGGGCTCTGCGCAGACCCATGAATTTGCACTGCGCTCGCAGGTCTTATCAGCACTGGAGATCTTGCGTAGTGCTACTGTGAACCCAGCGAAGATGATGGGATGCGCGGATGAGCTGGGTCAAATCAAGGAGGGCTTCCATGCTGACGTTGTGATTCTAAATAAGAACCCGCTTGATGATGTGACCGTCTTTGATAAGCCTGATGCACATGTGCTTGGTGTGATGAAGGATGGTCGTGTCTATAAGAGTAGGTGGGATGCATTGCTGGAGGATGGTCAGATTCCAGTGAGAGTACAATGATTATTGCTGTATACTGTATTGCATTGCATTGCATCGCAGTTGGTGTTGCGAGTGTGATGATAGACATAAATATATCCGAGTTAAAGATGGTGGTGTGGTGTCTTCATTCTCCCTACTCCCTAGGTCTTCGTAGTGGGGCAGAAATATAGTTGCCTTGTTTCTCAGGCAGAAATAGATATACAGTGACTTCTGCTACCGCCTTCCTCATTGGATAGTTATACCGCCTTCTGAATTTTTAATACCGCTCATTCTTCCTCATTTCTAATTGGCGAATATTTGACTAGCAGAATTTGGGGTGCTGATAGTATGTCCCTCATTCATGGATGTCAGATAGGGGAGCTCAGAGTACAGGAAATCACGCATACACGACACAGAATGGAAAGGGGCTTACAGAAAGTTATTTTTCTAGGATACAAGGATGATTTCTGAGATCTGTATGATCCCTAAGCTTGCTAGCTGACCTCCTTGGATGGTTGGTGTTGTGTCGTCGGGCATTTCCCTCTTCACTAGGTACATATTTATGTGAGCCCAGAGAAGTCTAGGACATCAATCCCAGTCAAGCCCATGAGAAAGGCTGGATCATCACTCTGGAATCCCGACAAAAGGTCGTACTCTATAGACTGGAACTCCCGCAACATAGTTGAACCATGTGCTAGGCTTTGCGGGGTTGAGCTTTCCGGGATATACTGTTCACCAGCAGTCCTCCAATCGGACGTATTATCGCTTGACTGTGGTGGATGCAGTACAGTATGTGGAAAGGGCACATCGGGCTCTGCCTCATGGATTGCTCTTTGCTCCAGGGTCGGAGAGCGTTCCAACCTCGTAAGCCATTCAGCCCATTGATTGTAATCAGATGTCGAAGCCGAATTTTGTACATCCTGTGTTTCGTTAGCCGTGGATGACGCTTGATGGAGCTTCTCCGCGGCCTCGTTTGTTATCGACTGTACGGCTTCAACAAACTTTACCCCCAATTTAGCTGTCATGTTTCCAGTTGCCATTCTCCGAAGACAGTCTAAGCCAAATTTCACTCGAGCATTGTATCCTGAATCTCGTTCTGTGATCCCAGCCACTAGCGTCACGATCGTCGCAATACTGCATCCCTGGAAGTCCGTGAATGAGAAACGAGTGATCTTGCGGGTTTGTGTCAAATTCTCGAACAGTAGGAGAAGTTTTCTGCCCGCCTTTGCGCAATATCGGGATTGCATCAAGGTGGCCTCGCTTGGACCAGGAGGGCGCGACGCAGGAAACATATGATAACGAAGGCTCGTTCGGGCAACTGTTACAAGGGCGACTTTTCCCATGGTTATCCACGCATAGTAATAATTCAAATATAGATGGAAGATCGTGCGATATCTTGAGTCTTTGGTGTCCACGTTTTCAAGCTTGAAATCTGGCGGTAAGGACTTCTTCCACTGTCGAAGATCAGAAGCCAGACCTTCGGATTCTGACTGTTCTTCCGCTTCGGTGACACCACTACTGATAAAATATAAGTGCTTGTTATTCTATCGGAATCGGCCCAACATACCACGGTTCGGCAATTCGATCGAGGATCTTGATCAGACGAGCATACGCCATCTGGAATTGAATATTGTTGTATTTTTGCAGACGATCCAGTGCTGGGAGAGGCGATGGATGTGGTACTTTGACTACATTGGCATCGACAGAGCGAGGCCTGCTTAGTTTGATAGTGGTACACCTGACGTGGTTAGTGAGATTTATTTCAGCGAGAGTCCCATCACGTACCTCTCGAGGGAATATATTGACCACCATAACCGACATCGGACCTCTCTCTCTCGGTCGTCAACTGCTTGATCTTCTGGGTTGAGATGGAGATCAAATGCCAATGCTTTGCGCAAAGCCAAGCCCATGTAGACATACGATGATCCGATGGCACTTGCTGGCATTAGATAGACACCTAGCAAGAAGGGCGCTTGAATGGATCGGAGACAGGGTCGGTCAATTAAGTCGGGTATAAGCGTTTTGGCATGAGTATAGAACACTTGACCTAAATCATCATTATCTCGATGTAGGCTGACTGCAAATTCATCTGGTCTTTCTAGGGGCGTCCATTGACTACCTAGTGCGAATATTGCCATTGCAAGACAAACAAAGCTCAAGTCAGATCTTAACGGCGAGGTGGTGTCTGTGTAGAATTGGTCAATCTCGGACAGAATTTGGTCCTGGTCAAAGTAGAAGAATGTATCTGTTGCATGTTTTATGAATACCGAAATCAAAAAGTCGGCGATGAGGCGCGGGGGGAATGCATCAATTGCTGCATGTAAACGTGCCACCTCATATGGATGAAGCGCCTTTGGACGGGTCATATGCTAGGATTCGTCAGTTGACATGGGCTCAAAACCGAAATATGATATGGCTTACGGCTTGCATGGCGACCATGTCCCTCTCTTCGGGTGCAGCATCCGGATCTAGCGAGAAAGCCTCCCTCAGACGGGAGAGGATGTTTGGCCACGGGGCCCTTTTAGATTGACCTGCAACAACATGTTCGGCGAGCTTTTGGGACAAGACTGATGCCGGAGAAAGCGGATCAGTATGACTGATATCATCTTGCAGTAGTTGGGCTCGGTTTCTGGTCGATGTAGCAACTATACCAGGTTCGGGAAGGTCACTCGACGCAGTATCCTGGGTAACAGGCGATTTCTCCCTGTTTCACGTTAAAAAAGCGCTTTCTTAAAGGTCATGGACTGAATACCTCCCAAACATGCAGGCCAAGTTACTTGCAAGGCACCGCTGACATTTGCCCGGAGTCGCCTCCACACACTTGCTTTTCCTGGCCTTACAGCGATCGCATCTAAGCCCAGTTAGTGGATACGCCTCGTCTCAGACGAATGATGCATACGCTCGGGGTGCCCTTTTGCGATTCTCGTCGGCAACTCGCCTTCTTAGTCGTCGTCTCGAGGCAGAGTCCATTGTCAATTTGGACAGTTATCCGAAGCGCTATAGAGGAGTGGACCTGCAAAGGATAAGAAAAAGACAAGTTCCCGAAACACGGCAATCTGGCCGAGAATCCTCGTTATCTACCCCACACTCCCAAGCATTGGTAATGTTTAGAGGAGATTAAGAATGCGAGATATACCAATAAATAGGAAATTATAGCAGGGGTTCCAGGTCAATGATAGCTTGTTAATGGATATTCATGTGTCAGTGATTCAAGGAATGATACCACCAATCGAGACTGTCACAGCCTCACGGGCGTCTGGTATTCTTCCCCTCTATTTGCCCGTCCTTTCCATTCGTGTTCTTCTACCTTTGCATGTTGGGACACTGCTGTAATTGACAATCCCCCCACGCTCATGGTTATCTCCATCTCAGCTCCTATCAGAGTAGGGGTATTCCGCATTGTCATCCCTCCGGATTCCACTGATCCCCATAGAATCTTGATACCATAACCAAAGAATACTCTGTTGTTCCCGATCCAAGGCAAAGAATTTCCTAGACAATTGAATCCCAGCTGAGCTGCGTTGTTTTAGCAGCCGAAGTTCCTCCTCCCGATTTTCCAGCAGCAGTCGTTGGATGGACGGTAATCTGGAAAATACATTGGTGATGCTCGCCTCAACTCCACGTACCCGAGCAAGTGCACGGTGAATATTTTCAATGTCAAATAGCAACACCTGGAATTCCCTGAAAGGGGTTGAGGGAGTACGCGACAGGTCCAGAGGAATGGCGATTTCGAGATAAAAATTGAGATCTTCCCCGTAGTACTGCATCAAGCCATGCTGATGTTCAGGAGACAGAGCTTCGAATGCCGTTTGAGCTTTTTGCACAGCCTGAGCCGTATTCTCTTCTTGCTCCCGCGCAAACCGAGCCACCTTTTCAACAGCTCTTTGGATTTCTGAGTGTTGAGTACTGAGGTTTGGGAAAGAGTCCAGAAAGCGAGAAGTAGTTAGATAGCAATTTGCCGAATGGACAGCTGTTCTCAAGTCATCAAGAGCATGGCGAAGCTGTGGAGCTAAGCATCGATCGTCTATTATCGAATAAGTGGCCTAATAGAGATGTTAGCGTTAACTAGGTTATCCAGGTGAAGGCACTCGCTTCAGTCATCTCTATGAGATTTTGAAAGACAGTTACAGTTAGACAAAGAATGAAAGATGGGGATAAAGTGCTCAGAGGACTGGAGGCTTTGTGACAATTTTTTTTCCAAGATTATATTTGGCTCATCTCAAAAGATGCAGTAAAACGTAAAACCTCATCCTAAATGGTCACTTGATAGACTCTTTTCTTCACTATTCTCCCTCTCTCTATCCGCAGCAAGATTGGAAGCTTGTGAGGTTATGCAGATTCCCCATAGGTGACGTGGTTCTGAGTTCACCTTCCAACAGCTTAATTTCCTCCTTTTTCATCTGACAATACTCCCACCGCTTCAGTTTAACCATGGGGTCAGTCTAGTCATCATCAAAGATGACAACATGCTAATAGGATACATTTACACGCACTACTATGCCATCCTTGGCTGGGATACACCTGAATGGCAAAAGGCCTGGGCCCAACTCATCGAAGATATCCCCAAAATCATCAAAGAAGGCCGGGTCCCTCTCACTGGTTCAACTTAAGATGAAGATGAGATAACAAAAGTGGTCATAGGCTCTGAGAAAGGCATAAATCTGAACGGGGTTGGAGAAGATGCCTATGAGCAATTCATACTGTGCAAGCCCGGCCAGTGGACTTTTTGCAAGACTGCCGAAAGGCCGTACGATGTGGTCGTTACATCTATCCTTCTCAGAGGATGCTGGCGCCGAAGAATATTGATCTTAGGTATGCTACATGTTACATCCGTCCAGAGAATCCATTCTAATGATGTATAGCTCTGATGGTGAATATGAAGACTGGGCAGATGCGCGTAGGCTCTGTGCTACCTTGTGGCCTGGGGAGCCTACCGATAGCATGTGGGCACAGGATGATGAGGGAAAGGACGTCGAGGCCAAAGACTTAAGTGACCAGGTCAATTAAATGTACGGGTTTTCGTTTTTAGGGGCCATTGACTTCATTTATGTTTTATTTGGTACCCTATGTGGCTCAAATTCATGAGCCTGACCTGTGCAAGCAGAAGATGGTGCACTTAATCTATTGCCTATTTTTTTCTCCAAGCTTCTACCTTTACACATTGAATCTGAGACAAAAGTGTCAACGCCCAGCCTCGGGGAATCCGAGAATATCCACAATTCACAATTTAGCACTAACCACATACATAGTAGCCCAATAAAAGTCCCTTGAAAAGAAGAAGATCATCAGGAAAAACACGTCGGTTCACGCATCAATAATTCAGTGAATAGGGCAAGGGACTGAAAGCTGAGGCTTACAAGAATAGAATGTATAGCTACCAGTTTATAAAATTGCAATCCAACACTCATTAGAGAAGGGTGCCTTTGTTCATGGGAAATAGGACCCGTGATACTGATTGCGATATTGAATTGTTGACAAAATGAAGCCTCGCGCACCACCAGGCCCCAGAATTGCGATATGCTTAGTCATGGAATCAACAAAAGCCACCTGACAATTGTCTCATGTCGGATTGTAAATGCCTCGACTTCATATCTCGAAAAATATTTTACTGTCTCGCCCATACTTCTTGTCTACACCCTGCACTCAAGTTCGAACTGTATACGAAGCCGCAAGAATGCCAATTACCAAGAATCTCACACTGCCAAGCTCGGCGAAGGACCTGACAGTAAACCCGGACTCAAAATTATTCATTGCCTTCATATCTTCACCAGATCCAATTACCAAGCAACCTTGGTGTCCGGACGTACGAGATGCCTTGCCTCACATCAACAAGGCATTTGCCGGGGATGACGCGCCTGACCTAGCTATCATCGAGGTTGGACAAAAGCCAGAGTAAGTTTTACCATCGTGTCTGAGCAGGATTTTGTTCAAATCATATTCAAAGCGTGTCCCTGTGGTGCATTGAACTGATATCTATCAGATGGAATAACCCCCAAAATGTCTACCGAAAAACGTGGGGCACTAAGAACATTCCTGCGCTGGTACGCTATGAGCAAGTCAATGGGAAAGTCACTGAGACAGGGCGATTGGTGGAAGGAGAAATTCTCAACAAGAAAAAACTTCGGGAGTTCATCGTCTAATTGTATCGGGGTCTTGTTATCATCGTACCTACCTTCTGCACTACTCATACCAAATTGCACTTGATATCTTTAATATACTAGGCCATTTGTTTGTTCGCCATGCAATTCAAATGCTAGTTGAATAGTGTAAGACTATGCCCTTAAGACGATAGCACCCAATACGCGGCGGATAGCACTTAGTTAGGTCATATCCAAAGTTAGAAATTCAGTATGAGATCGAATGATAGACTTGTAGACACTAGAAGAAGAAGCATATGCATTTTCATGAGATTTTGCAAGCCTTTGTGCTTTGAATATTTTAAACCCAGATGATGCCAAAAATGGAAACTTACAGGCAGTTTGCCAGCCTAAATATTTGAGCATCAATCCAATCAGCGCCCTGTATCAGGAATCTTTCAGGGAGGTAATATTAATAACGGTTGATTGTATTGATGTCTTTTTAAGTCTTAGATATTCTTGTTTTCATTCGGGGGATCAGATATTAGATATCTCTGGTTAGAGCAGTCAATAGCTAATCGTCTGTAGTGACTTCAGAGTGCATGTAGTCTCCGAAGGGTTGTCATTGAAATAAATAAAAGTTTACAAGGTTAGACAAGTCCAGCTTTCATGGTTCACTGTATCCCATCAATTATTGTATCAGCTCTCATGGCAACTGTGATATTTTTGTTCTTATATTTGTTTAACAACTCCGTCGGCACCGTCACCGATGGTGGATATTGGAAATAATCTCAATAGCAGATCAAGTAGAACTAGACCTTGTAGGCTAGAATGTACCGATCTCCAGCATACTCGGTGACAGTATAGTACTCCTTATGAACAAGGTTGTAGCTCAAATCCTCATTTCCAGCCATGAACCACCCCGTGTGCTCTGTCGCTGTCTGCCCCTCTTCCCAAGTGAAAAGATCGCCTTGCTTGGGAGCTTTGCCTGTGCTGCGCGAGATGTAAAACTCGCCGTCGTATGAAACAGCACCCTGTACGTTGGGTATATCGACACAGTACGCCCAGCTTGCGGAAGCGATGCCCCCACTAGTCTTCAGCTTCCGGGTCGCATAATCCAGATCGTATTTCACATAGCGGATAGGGACGGGCGTATTTGCGGCATCGTCGAAAGTTTCTCCAGCTGACACAAACTCACCCACCATGAGGGTGTCGGGTGAATCGCTGCGATCAAGCGAAATCCAAGAGAAGCGGAAGGGAGAAGCGGAGCCGGGTGTCCATTGATAATTGCTTTGAATGGTATCAGTCTTGGTCAAAAGGAAGATAATAGATAGACTCACCGGATCTGAGGAAGCACATATCGGTATTGATCCGCAGAATACCCTCCATCTGTAGTTTTTCCGACCCCATCGGCAATCTCAACCTCCCAGATGTTGTCCAGGTCAAATGCACGAATACCATTATGGGTATCGACAACAAACAGCACATTGCCGTACCACATGATACCACCCGCATGAATAGCGATGGCTGTAAAGTTATCGTCGGCAGTAGGATTCACAAGCATCACATGGCGATAATTGTGCGTTGCGCGATCAATAAAGCTAAGCCGTACACTTTCTCCAGAACGATACCAACTGACGACCCACGCATCGTGGCCATCCCACGTTCCCGTATTCAAAGCATCACCAGAGCCGGTGATTCCCTGCGGAACCCAAGTCGCTGTCGCGTCATCACCTGAGTTCCAAGCCCATGCCTCGGAGGGAGACCCATTGCCGACAGAGGGCGAACCTTTACTTAAGGCACGATTCGCGGATTGAAGAACCGTAGATATGTTGGCAATTTTACCCTTGGACTCAAAGTACTTTGAGAGCACAGGGAGGTGAGCATTGTCTGCGGATTCTTCGAGGGTGAAATCTGCACCATCAAGAACCGTTTTATTCTGGCAGTAACGGGGGTCTGTCGCGATAGTGACGGGGAGGCAGAGAGAAAGAAGAGTCGTGAAGACCAATGTATACCGCATGATGGGGAATTTTGGTACGGAGTACCAATGGGGCTTTTCTTTCAACAATGCTGAGTGAGTACTCTGTACAGCTCCTGGGAAAGATGCAATTTATAGCGTATTTCATCAATATTATGGGCGGATATGAAGTGCAACCAAGCCTCTACACACATCCGTAAAAGGCCCTTTCCCCTCGCATCACTCGTGTTAGGATGTGATCGCCATGAAATACGAGACTTGGCAGGCCCTAGCCAAGCCCCTTCTTCATCTTGGAAATACCTAGGTGGCTCTCAGACATGAAGGGCCCGCTCAGGTCAACACGTGGGATAAAGATAACCAACACGTGGGATGAAGACACAGCTTGAATGGTATTTCCACGGTCAAACATGAATAGGCTTGACCCGCCTTCTGCATTATTCCAAGCTTCGACAGAGTATACTCCATAGTGGGGATGGTCTTCTCGAGTTGTGTGCGTCAACTAGAGCTATTGGGACTTCCATAATATCTCACACAAGCTCGATGTAACCGATATTCGAGGTTAGAAAGAATACGCATCGGTATATAGGCTATGATCTAAGGAAACAGTTGAGAAAATATATTCTGGTAACTCTTATATGCCGTTGAAGATATAGAAGACAGTAGTCCTGAAATCACTAGGTGGCCATGACGTATCGGAACTTTGCAGGTATTTCCACAACCAACCTCCGTTTTGCGTACATACAATATATGAACTGAATCATAAACGATACTTTTTGCCATTTCCTGATGGTCGTTTAATTATATCCCCTACACGCTATGTGCCGTCTTATCCCTGCCAACGCACCGAGGTTGCATCGTCTAATGGTAGAGACATGCAGTGCGACGAATGTACACCGTATACTCCATACCTTTGCAGTAGTTATAGATTAATGGTATGTAACTCTTAACTAAAATTAGATGACTCGGGGAATATCACCTGAACGGGACATGACATGCTGACTAATTTGCCAATACAGTGGAACCGTAGACCCGTGGACTCCCAATATTCTGTGGGATTCACTCATAACTTCGGGGTATATTCCATCTCTACATGGAATGGGGAAACTCTGGGCTGCTAGATGGGTCATCAAGCAAAGGATAGCCGGCAGACCATTTAGGATAGCTCGGCGATTGTCTAGATTCAGCCTGATAGACTAACACGTACTTTATGTTAGAGCATCAAATGATCTTTTTGATTCGATATGCTCACAATTCATAGCTGGGATATTTTTTTTCCCAATCCCAAACTAAGGGCACATGAATAAATGAATACCCAGATACAATAGGGCCAGAAAAGAAACCCAGAAAGCCAAGCTCCAGACGAGAAGAAAATGAGAAAATAAAGACAAAACGTGATTGCATGTTCATCATCCACGACACAACCCATGCGAGAGATCCACATCTCATCCCTCACATCTGCATGGCCTCGTCACCATCGGCATCCGCTCCACCGGGTATCCGTCCCTCGTTGAGCTCCTTCTCTAACTTTGTAATCTCCTGCAAACTCTTCGCCTCGCGAATCAATTTCTCGACCCGCTTGCGCTCCTTGTCGGTGAGTTGCACTCGGATGGCCTTTTCGGCGGGGGTGCGTTCAGCAGGGGTAGAAACGTCGAAGGTGCGGGACTTGACACCCATAATCTTGGATGCGAGGGACGAGGGTTCCTCATAGGTGCCGAATAGCTCTTTGGCTGCAGCGCGCTCGGCGTCGGTCACTTTCTGGAAGTCAAGGAAGTGGACAGAGGGAATGCGCCAGATAGTCCAGTAGCGGTAGTTCTGCAGGAATCGGTTAGTTTAGCTTCCAATTGAGTCTGGACCATGTCATATATAGCCGGATCTAACTAGTATACGGCGCAGGGCTAAACATACCTCCTTGCGCGTCACCGGGTTTTGCAAGAGGGACAAGTGCGTCAGTCGCCCCAAGTTCCGCAGCGGATCGAGGTCGGCAAGTTCAGACACATTGTTTGCGGTTAGGACCAAAGTCGTCAGGTTGGGCACTGAAGTTGCGAGTGCGGGTTGGATGTGATTGATACGGTTGCGCGCAAGAAGGAGAGTGCGGAGACGAGGAAAATGGGGGAAGTTTCCAAGGGAGGAGATGTCATTATCGGTGAAATCGATCGCATCTTGATCCTAGGAGCTGTCAACATTGGATTCATATAGGTACAACAGAGCTAACTGCAGACCAGAAATTGGTCTAGTAGTAACACGGAAAGAAGTAACAGGGACAAATCTGCCTCTCAAAGATTGAAAGAAACAAAGCACTTACTTTGGCGATACCCAAGTTCTCGATTGTGGGGATCTTATGACCTGCACGACCACGCAAAAGACGATATCAATCCAGCTCTTAATCAAAAGTGTAGTACCTGTTCTTTTCAGGCAGGTCTATAGTGGGTGAACTCACCTCGGAGATCCAGCTCACGATCTGTGAGCGGATTGATGTAAGTTAGTGAACTTTGAATGAGCTCAGTAGTCAAGCGCATACTGGCGGTGGCGATGAGAGCTGTTGCCGAGAGTAAGGGGTGTATGGAATGGTGGGGTTTAACGCGACGGCATAGGTGAAGTGCTGTAGAAGAATATTGAACAAGCTTGGTGAATCAATGCAACGAGTGAATCGGAAGCTTAGTTGCGCCAGTTTCTCTCTACATCGTTTTTGCCAAGGCGGTAGCAAAACTAACACGTGATACTATTGATAACTGCTCAGTTCATCCAAGCCCCACCTATACACCGCCTACCTATATAGTTCACGCGGCCTATATGAAGCATGGGATAGATCTAGATCATCTGTGGCATCTCTCCGAGACAATGTCTCATCGAATTAGAGCTGTCTGTCATTGAAAGCCAGGATTGGTATATACCATATAAGATCGATAGTTTGAATTCATATCAATTAGTTATAAGCCAGCAGAACATTATATAACCAAATGTGTTGAAACGTGTGAACAATCACTGTATGTAGGTAGTTGACCACTAGGGCTAGCATATTAAATTGATAAAGATATGCTCATTGATACTAAGATGTACGATTTGAACGCAAAGCAGACTCTAGCAATGTATTAATCTATATTCAGGAAAAGCTTTCTCAATCACTAATAGTACATACCTCATTACGTGTAAATCACCGGCCTGAGAACGAAAGCACCGTAACCAACCAACAAAAAGGTACTCCAGAGCACAGTATTGAAATATGATATGAAGAATTGAAAGCAGCCTGCCACGACGCACGCAACACCATAAGAAGAGAACTCCCTTTGCGAAAAAGAAAAAGACAAGACAACGTCGAAATGAGTCGACGCATCAGACAATCAAACTCCAAGTGGAAATGCAATGCAGTGTAAGTAATTAAGCATAATTCAGGTCAGCACGTCGCGTTAGTCGTCGGCCAGTGGTGTCATGTTGGGTGATTTTTGGTGAGATCTCGTCGGACTACCAGCTCTTGACCGACGGCCGTTCGTTGTAGGGCCTAGAGCAATGGGAGCTAGGTGGTCCCTGCTCTCCGTCCTGACTACTAAGCCTGCTCGGTCCATAGCGATGCCGGAGCCACCACCACCACTGCTGATCCCAAGACCAATCGTCCCGGTCGAACTATTATCTAACGCGTATTTGAAACTGGGAGTGTTGCTGTTGCTGCCCCAGCTCGACGCTCGCTTCGGTGGTACCAGTCTAGCCAAGTCTGCCTCGGAAAGACGTCCACCATCCTCGCTCCCGTCGGACTCGACGGCACCAAGCTCATACTCTTGAGCACCGTCCTCGAGAACTCGCTCGTAAGATGGGGCACTTCGACTGATAAATGGCAGCATCGATTTGAGTCCCTTCCGTTTCTTTGGATGATTGGGATGCGATGGCCCACCACGGCGCAACACGTTACTCACGCGGTTGAAAAGCCGCGATCGACGGCTGCGTCCGCATAAGAAAAAGCCGGCCATGAAAACGATAAGCATGAAGAGGACGAAGCCTGGGATTCGGCGCGGAGAATCACCGTCGAATAGCGCATCATGCCAGTGCTCACTGTGGAAGCTGTCTGAATCCGGTAGTAGTTGAACACTGGGATACTGGAAGTCGGCCGGGATACCGGGGACATTGCTGCCAAAGCCTACTGGAAGACCTTCTTCGATCTCTAGAGGCACCTGAGAAGACGCGTACAAGACAATCTTGCCCAAAGTCCAACTCACTTCGGTCGAGTCGATCTTGTTGACCGCCTGGAAAGCATCAAGGTAGCCCTTTTCTTTTCCATGAGCCAAGACTTCTTTGGTGCCGTTGTGCAAAGAGCCAGTCGTATTCTCCAAGCCCACGCGAGGCACTCCAATGCCATCATGTAGCATATTTATGATCCATGATGCCTTGAAGCATACTTCGTAGGCCTTTTGGCGATCAACCTTCTTTCCCCATTTTTGCTGTCCAAGGCCATGCTCAATGGAGTCCCAATCTTGTGAGCAATACGTTTGGACCCGTTCTTGATACGTATTGAAATCGTATGCTTTGTCCTTGTATCCCATTTCGAAAATCTCGTGAGTGGTGTGCCAGTATTCGCTGATCCCGATAAAATGGTTAACATCGAAGTCGATAGCTGGAACGTGGATGCCGTTTAGCAGACACGGTTCATCCGCACATGGAGCATCCTTATCCAACAATGGGTATGTCTGACGGAGACATTCGTCGAATCTGCCCGTGCCTAGCAGATAAGGTTCTGTCTCGCTCGCCGATGCAACCCTGCCATCAAGTGTGGTGCGCAATCCACTAGGAAGACAAGGGTCAGGCATTTCTTTGATACCTGGCCCAATTGCCATCTGCAAAGCGTCCAGATAGCGTCGCCGGGCTTCATGCACGCCGAACTCTAACCACGAAGTGACAAAAACCTTGTGCTCTTGAACTGATCCATCAATGTTTCGCAATCGCAATAATTTGAGGTCCTCGGCGTGCTTCTCTGTCTCCGTAACATTCGGGGCGAACGCAATTTGGGCTGATGCGCCACCCATATCGAGGAATCCGTAGGTGCTGTGTCCCTTTCCATGGTCGTGTTTCTCCGGGGCATCAAAGGATCCCATCAGGTAGTTTGTCGCAATCCATCCGTATAGTCCCTCGGTCACGCCCGGAATCACCTGGATGTGAACCCCACAGTCCGGAAGTAAAAAGTTTGAGTTGTCACGAGCATAAGAACAGATCTGGTCCAGAAGCAATTGTCGCTCGAGATTTCCTAGCAGTCGCATACCTGCAGTGGCAAGGAGGAATATGGGAGTGTCCTTGGCATCTTCCGCGGGAATGATCCCCTTGGCGTGGTCTAATAATTGAGCAAGATGGTCTGATCCAACCAATTCGGGTGTGTTGGCGAATGAAGAAACACCTTTTGCGCAGATAGGTTAGTATGTTGTCGACGAATCCGTATTGGCTTGAGCAGCGCTCACCTGGGTGAATCTTCTTCGTCCATTCTTCTTTAGTTTTGATTTCCGGTAGCGATTTCAAGTCCTCCACATGAGCGTTCTTTCGTGCCGCGGAATTTCGTAGCCATCGGTAAACGTGTACGCGAGTCCCCTGTGCAGTTGATTAGTGGCATGACTCCGAGTCTCCGGGATGAGTCGACATACAGACGATCCTGCGTCTAGGACGACACCATAACGCCCTAATAGAAAGGTCAATTTGCCGCATCATGAAAGTTAGGGTAGGACTGCATACATTTGCCCATTTGGACTTTTGATTATTCGCAGAGCATGACAAGACTGCTCAAAATGAAGCAGAGGATCAATTTGTCAAATTAGGTTGCAAGAATATGGGGTAAACGAATGACGGAAAGTAAAGAAGACTTGAGAGTGAAGAGTAGAGTGAGGAGAGAGACAGCCAACCTTGGAAGGCCAAGAAAGATAAGGAGAGTGCCAAAAGCGGCCTGGACGCGACGACTCCGGAGCGGTACGAAACATGACGGGCCGGACTCGGAATTTTCAGTGGCAAAATGGGCACAGATTGGTCCGAATTGGGAAAAGTGGGGTAATTTATGGGTAATTTAAGTTTCTGTGACCGGGTAATCTTTTTTTTTTCTTTTTTTTTCCTGCAGATTTTCAATCATTTGATGGGAATAACATCCAATGTCTCCAACGTACAATCTCGAATGTACTACAGACTTAGTTTCTCCTGCAGATGTGTACACATCTCACTGCGGCATGCAGACTAATCACGTTGTTTTAATCTTGACAGGGACAGTTCCACTTGGGCCTTGACTATCTCAACTTCACTATTTATTAACTATAGTACTCTGTAGGTACGGGGTAGTCGATACATTGTAAGCGGATATGTATCCCAGCCTCGTCGTCATGGAATGCAGCTTGGGAAAAGGACCCTACAGGACACTAAAATGCCGGGGAGAGGGGAAAGTATACGTCAGCCCCTCCCTTCCCCGGCCTTGGAAGCCGATGGGGAGATTCGTTGCGTCACTCTAATGAACAAGGGTCTGTCTTGGCGAAGGCTTTTCCTATTCCCCTGTTACTGTATGGTAGAATCCTCGTAAAAAAAAAAAAAAACAAAACAAAACAAAACAAACAAATAAACAAACAAATTCAGTCACACACTGAAAGTCACAAGCTTTCTTCTTGGGCATCTCTCGCTAAAACATTATACATAGAAGCGAGATGGCAAATAAAAAATAAAAATAGAAACATCGAAGTTAATATCTGAGACAAGTTACATGTTCGACATACAATTCTGGGATTTGAAGTCACGAGACGAGACTCTAACCCGGTCATTCCTTCGTTCCCTCAGACCCAACCACTACAGGAAGCTGCCCATTAAGCACACTTGCAGGTGATGAAGACCCGCATAGATCGTCAAGCAGCGCCCGCTCACCAATCTGCTCATCGATAAACTGCGTGCGGTCCAGGCCAACCATTTCCACCTCCTCATGCACGCGCAACTGCATCCCCGGTATGAAATTGATAATGTAAAGCAGGATACAGGAGACAACAAAAGAATATGCCGAGATAGCACACACCTCGGCCAATTGTTTTCCAACCTGCACTCCATTGCCGTTAATGCCACCAGTGGCCTCGGTCACGCCATCCAACGCGGCAATAGATTGCGACGCAAAGATGCCGGTAAGGAATGCCCCCACCATTCCGCCGATACCGTGCAGCTTGAACACATCCATCCCCTCGTCTATGTGTAACCACTCATTGATGTTTTGGAGGAGCGCGCAGACGATGCTCGTGAGGAACCCGATGACGGCAGCAAGCCACACGGACACAAATCCGGCGGCTGGCGTGATGCCTACTAGCCCTGCGATTGCGCCTTCGCATGCCCCCACGACCGAAAACTTCCCACGATACTTAATATAGTCAACCAGCACCCATCCGAGTACGCCTGTGCAAGCCGCAGTGTTGGTGTTAAATACCGCTAGCATTGCCCGCATGCTAGCATTTAGAGTCGAGCCGCCCTAAGAAATCTCTGCTGTCAGACTTGAGTTTAGAAAAGGCACAGGTGTGACATACGTTGAACCCGAACCATCCAAACCAGATCAAGGACGTGCCTAAGAAGACTAAGGTGGTGTTGTGGGGTTTCGCATGTGAAGGCTTGTCGATATCCTTGCGCTTCCCCAAAACAAAGGCATAAGCCAATGCTGACCAGCCAGATGCGATGTGAACCGGGCCGCCGCCGGCGAAATCAAGTGATGGGAGGTTATACAGCCACCCGTTGCTGTTCCAGGTCCAACAGGCTAGGGGACAGTAGACGACGGTTGCCCAGCAGAAGCCGAAGATCAGCGAGGGGATCATGTTGCCTCGTTCGAAAGCTCCGCCAACAACGATCATGACCTACCGCAGCATTCCATTAGATCCAGTCTCGCGACATTCTGTTTTATGTGTTGCTTACCGTGCATGCGCAGAATAGAAGCTGATAAAAGCAGAACACAATCTCCGGGAGATCCGCCGAGCCAGGCGATGGTGCTACCATCACACCTCTCAGACCGAAGTTCTTAAGGGTTCCAATGAAGGGACTTGCATCCCGGGCATAGGCTAACGAGTAACCCCAGAACATCCATTGGAACGTTATCCTGGCGGGATATATGGTGTCAGTACGATGTACGCGTGGATTTTGAAGAAGACCTTAACGTACACGGCCGCAATCATGAACGACTGGAAGAGTAATGCCAGTGCTGATTTTCTCCGTGCAAGACCACTGTAGAGAAGACCAATCCCGGGGATGATCAACCAAACAATGAACGAGCAGAGGATGATGTAGGTATAGTTCCACTCGACGCCTGCATATTGAGCATTTACATCGACCTTGAGTGGATCTCCGCCTGTTGGGGTAGATGCATTGTAGACTGGCTATATTATATGACTGTGTCAGCTGTGTGCAAGTGTCATTTCCATCATACTAGACTTACAGAGTCGGCCATGATGAGAACTAGAATGGGATCGCAATCCTAACTCCTCTGCTCGGGGGTCCACAGTACATATATATTCTCTAGCAGAGTGGACATCTACATAGCTCATAATAGCTAAAACAAAGATTTTCGGGCATCTTATCTATTCTATGACAGCAGCCAAGACTATTGTTTCAACGGGGAGCTTTGAATCTATAGTAGTCGCCTATAGTTCATGGGAATCTGTGACTGTCGGATGAATTATTCATGATAAGAAGGGGACTTGATTCGATCTAAGCTAAGATAAGGATCCGAGAGCATGTGTTCCATAGAATTTCAGCCATCCAATTACGTCTTGTTCTCGTGTTGACCCCGGATCTTACAACCCTCTAGGGCTTAGGCTCGTTATCGAACGCCTATCTTATCTCGGGAATGATCTTGGCGTCAACGGTACGGAGTATGGACTACAACATACAACGGATGTCTTAGACTTCGAATGCCAAGTTGCTGACACCTTGGCACGATTGTCAATAGCTTGGCACGATTAGTCCCGAAAATGATGCCTTTAAAATCAAAAGGAGATCGTTGTTACGTAGATTAAAAGCGAATAACGCATCAAACCTGGACAGCCGGAGGTGGATACTATACCCGAAGTAGCTAGCGGGGAGTGTGTGTCGCTGAATAAAGAATGTGTCTATAACTGACTGGTCCTTCTCATAAAGCCCCTTTAGGATGCAGAATAGTGGTATTGTAGGGCAGTGGGCGGTTAGGAAGCGGCTGGACGTCTAAACATACAAGTGGAAAGGCAACCGTTTTCGGTCTCAGTAGCGGTCATTTCGGCATCAATCCCACGGTTCCTCATATTCTAGATACAAAAATGCCTTGGCTCAGTGGGAGCGTTGCCGGATTTGGCAGTCAAATTGGCGTCGCAAAGGACGTTGTCGGGAGTGTAATGATGTGAACCACGAGGCGAAATTAGATTTGCCGGTAATAATTAGGACGAGCTACAAGAGCTTAGGCTCCGCCAAGCTGGTTGTGGGAAACAGGTTGAAAGGTGGGTCGTAGGAGAAGTACTTGATGAAGGTGTAGGTCGGTGGAGAGGTACTCAACCGCGTGGACAGCGAATTGTGGGGTCTGAGGTGCATCAAATGGAGAGAGGCAAATCGCTATAGAAGGAGGATTCAGAATTCCTCTAGTGATATTGCCATCCCCATTTTATCGATGATAATAGGACCATCGAACGGAGAAAAGGTGGATGATGTTGAGCAGGAGCCCATTGAATGAGCGCTCACTTGCGAGAAGGAAGATATGGTTGCAACTGACAATATGATGAAAATGACCACGATATCAGTCGAGGGCAAGCTAGATAGAAATAGGGTTAGGAAGCGGAAGGTTCCGATCCGAAATTAACATGAATAAAGTATAACCAGTTCGAGCAGCGGTCTTATATATAACGATCTGAGTGTCCTACCGCATCTGCACTTGCTACTTATAAAGGGAATCACCATTTATATGGTTTACAGAAAGTCCTTATAGCAGGCGAGCAGAACCCGTAAGTAGTTTTCCTTTTCCTTTCTCCCCGGTACTTATTATCTAATAACTGCTCTAATAACTACTCAAAAATTGTTCCAAAAATTATTCCAAAAACGGTATAGATAATAAAGAGCGATTCCTTCTATAACTAGAAAGTACGGATAGGGTAGGTACAATAGAGGTATATATACCTCCTAGATTGTGAGGTGCCAGAAGAAATAATATATTCAACCAATAACGAAGATTAAGAAAAAAGGAAGAAGCAAATTGTAAAGTATGAAGCAGCTGCTAGTTGATATAGCTGACTACTTTACAAACGTTGCAAACCTTTCATCATTGTCTGGAGTACAACATTTACAACAGTATACCTACGAGGGATCTGGATGGCCTGCGGCCGCCCGATAGCCGTTTTAGAGCAAAACGACTGATTCTAACTTTTAATGCTATGTAAAGTGTGACTGTAGAAGCTCTGGGGAAGATAATGATGGTTCATTCTTGTTGGACATCGTGGTCACCTGACCATCAGCTCGGTGCGGCAGGCACCAACCCCCACAACTAGATAGTTGGGCATTCTGCCCCTTTAGGAATAGACAACTCTCTCCCTCTATCATTCCATCACTACACTGTAGTTACATCAATTTTCTAGTTTACTTATTCTGCCGGTTGGGTTATTCTGCCAAAGTTAGCCGGACTACCTCTTCACCGCATATAGCCTGCATATCAAGGCATCAACCCTACAAATTCAGCGAAATCTTAGCAGGAATATGAAGATTGAAGATCCTTGCGGGTTTGCTTGCAACTAGGTAGGATTCAAATTCTATCTTGACAGGTTTGTTATGGAAATCTCATAAGCGCTGTAGTCTATAATTACATTAGTGGGCGCGTAGAGAAGGGACCATCATTACTATTGACATTGGTCAGATATATAGATAGAACCTGGGAATGTGAATACTGCATAAACCGGTTTCATCTTGAGCAATTTCTGACCAACGGTAAAAGGTTCATTGTATTCAGCCGTGTGTTCCAATAAATTTAGCCCTATGGACACGGCCAGAGCAGGATAATGCTGTGGCTGAGGCGCCTATATACAAGCATACGAAGTACCCAATATCGATAGTTCATATAATGCTTCATATAATACTACTCCATAGGTAATGATGTAAAGAGAGAATGCAACTTGCACAGCCACAGGGTCGTTCCCTAGTGAGGCTCCGTGAAAAAGCGGAGCATTTTGATTCCTGTTTCTTCTTTGAACAAGGCTGACAGTCCGGCATTACCAGGTCGACATTTGATAGTTGATCTTATTGGTGTTATTCTTCTTAGTCTTGTATTGAATCAGAAGTGGAGGGATGCGCCCGGCGCTTGTTCAGCTGTTCCCCTCATCTCCGACTAATCTTCGGCCCCCATAGCTTCTGCTTTTTCTTTTTTTATCTTCCTCTTTCATTTACTCTTTAATCTCTGATTTTCAACTTCAACTTCAACCTGAACTATTTGCGGCCTCGTCTGTCCCTTCATTCCCTTATATATTGGGGGCGTCAAACCACACCAGAACGCCAGATCATCACACCAAACACCAAACACCACACACAACTCCAATATAATCGCAAATCTGCTTTTATAATCTATACGACGATATCTACTCGATGCTTTCTAATTCGACTTAATTTGATGCCCGTTCTCGCGGTCAATCTTTGGCTAATTGACCGCCATTTCATTTCAATATGTCGCACGCCTCCCCACTCAGCGCCCAGGGGCAATCGCCAGCAGATGCAACCCAAGATCGATATGCTCCGGATCCTTACCTATCAGCCCCATCTGATCCCGAGGAAATCTTCTTTCAGGCCAGTGCCATTCGACTAACGCCAACGCGGGGGAGTCCTGGATACCGTGCGGGACCCCCTCATGAGGAAACTCCGATCGACTCCACAACCCAGGGCTATTTGGACCCGAGAGCAAATGATTATACGGACCCAAGCACTTGCACCTCCCCTATTTCTGATACAAGTGTATTCGTGGAACCGAAGGATATCGAACTGGCTAGTGGTTCGATATGGCAAAATGAAAACCTGCCATCGTACAGGATTGGGGAGGAAAATATGCCTGTCGATGCGGTATGGGGTTCTTCCATGGCGCCGAGCTTTCAGTGGACGGGATTGGACCACAACCAGAATCCGAATCCATCACCCACGCTGGCGGGTCCAGAGCCTCCTGGCAATTCTAGGGCACGGCAATCAATCCCCACCTCGTGCCAGTCTGGCCTCGGTGTCTTTAACGCAGGTGCTGAGCCGCCGAGACTCGGTGTCTTGACCAATGAGTTGACCACTGAGCAGGCTTCGGGTGCAACCAGGGGAAGAAGCCCCATCGTTAAGATTACAACCTTCACCCGAGGGGATTCGCCCGAGGAACGCAGCACATCACCCCAAAGACATCTCAGCCAGTCCTTTGCACATCTATCTGCTAATTCAAGCGACCTAGAAGACGAAGATGATAGCGATCGTCACTCGGTATTTTCTGTTCCCGTGAAGCGATCTGAGAATGGCGGATGGATTCTAAACCCATCAACGCATCTAGCTGGCATTGACCCAACGTCCCGTGGGGATGAATTCGTGCCAAGTCCCAATGACGTCTATATTCAGCGAGAAAGGAGCGAGAAAAATGTGGATATTTCTCATTGGTCTGTCTCTGTGAGCGCAGCCAACAGCGACGCCGGTGGGGACTCACCTAGTTCACCGCGTCCACGCCCACACCTTGTTTCCAGGAGACTTCGAGCGAGGAGTACCGGTGATCATCCGTTGAAACAAGAAGATTATTTCAACCTCAAATGTCGCACCGAAGACACATCATTTCCTGGGCCCGGGGTATTAGTTCATGAAAGCAGCGACGACCTCAGCGAAGATGAAGCAAGCGTTGACATCTACTCCGAGGAGCCCTCAGCCGAGGTTGATGAATCTGGTAGATATGATCGCAGCACCCCCGAGGTCTATTCATCTTTCTCGCCGACTAAAGATGACGAAAGCATTCATATTTACCCCTGGCACGATCCCCCTCGCGATTTGACACCCAGATTACAAGCGATGCAGCCAGATAGCTCCACAGACGCTATGATAGCTTTTAACAGACGTGTGCGGGACCTCGAAACTGCATCGCTCGAAGCAACAATTGATAACAATAGCATTATCAATGTTGGTGCATCTCTCGAAAACTTTTCCATTACCGAACTACCCAAGAAACGCACCAGTCTGTTGAAGCGTCAATTTCTGCAGGCATCATCGATTCTGAAGCGCCAAGCATCTGAACTTTCTATCGGTCAATCGAATAGCTACCCCGGGGTTCCGCAGCGTGATACAGAGGACTTGCCGGCAAAAACGAGTTATTCACCACGGAATGGGTTCTTGCACCGTCGTCATTCGCGAGCGCCAAGTTTGAGCAACGCACTTCTTTCAATGACCAGCCAAATGGCCGCTGTCGGGCAAGCAGTGTCGCCTGCACCCTCACCGAATACGGAGAGAGGTTCTTTAAATATCCAATTCAAGGGTCGAGGTCGAAGCAGGAGCGAGGTCCCCCGACCAAGTAGCCCTGGGCTAATAAATCTCATGACAGCTCATGGTGGACCACCAGTTCCAAGCATCACATCACCCCATGTCAGTTCGGACGCCTACCAAATACCTAAAAGTACATTTCTGGGCCCTGAAAATGGAGGTGCTGATGAGAATGATACACACGCCAGCAATAACAAAGGCGTAGCTATGGATTTTCCCGCTGTCCAAAGTCTCCCAGTGCCGACAATCGAAGGGTTCAAATCGCAGATCATGCAGTTGAATCCAAGGCTTGAGCCGGCTTTGATTCACCGCTTAGCACATGAGCAAGTCCGCCGATACAAGATCTTGGTTGATTTGCAGCAGAAGCATTCCATTGCAGCTGCCAACCACACGTGCAAATCAGGCACCCTTTGTACTATTCAGGCAGGGAAACCCACTTTGTTGCAGGATCTCGAGGCCCCCAACGATCCGGAGGCAGGACAGATCCAGTCCCAAGTGACAAATTTCAGTTATGAGTACGAGCAACAGTATTCTCCAGGTGATGGGACGGCGGCTGCGACACATTTCCCTCCTGGCGTGCCCCTTCCACCAGTCAGTCGTCTTCCTGCCCGGTTTGAGTGCCCCATTTGCTTCGAAGTGAAAACCTTCCAAAAACCATCCGACTGGTCTAAACACGTTCACGAAGATGTGCAGCCATTTATTTGCACATTCCCCCACTGTACCGAGCCCAAGGCATTCAAGCGTAAAGCAGACTGGGTTCGCCATGAGAACGAGAAGCACCGGCACCTGGAATGGTGGACATGTGTATTGCCTGAGTGCAACCACAAATGTTACCGTAAGGACAATTTCGTTCAGCATTTGGTCCGGGAACACAAAATGCCAGAGCCCAGGATCAAAAGGACGGAGAAAGCCTCTAGCACCGTGGATGCCGAGAGTGTGCCAAATAGTCGAAAAGAGCAGGAGCTTGACCGATTATGGCAAATGGTCGAAAAGTGTCGGCATGAAACCACGCAAGCCCCGCAGGAAGAGCCATGCCGCTTCTGCGGGAATATGTGTAGCGAGTGGAGAAAGTTGTCAGTCCACCTTGGCAAACACCTGGAGCAACTCGCCTTGCCCGTTTTGCGATTAGCGAAGCCGAGCAACGCTTCAACCCTTGCCACCAACCCCAGCAAAGTGGGGCAGATTCGGGAATCATCGGCCGCGCCATATCACCCTGGACACGAACTACCCGAAACAGCCTCCACCTATCTGCAGCCGCAGTACGCGATCCGAAACACTAGCACACCGGCTAATCCTGGGTTTTCAATCAACGCCGTACCTCTGGCAAATTATCCCACCATCTCCGGGGGCGAACTTTCCATGGAGCCGGAGTCCATGATAGACTCTCATACCCCTGATCAGTTCCCAGGCTACACGCACACGACGGGCCAATTTGACCAAACCACACTCCGTCCCGCTCAGGCCCAGGCCTATCCCCTACATCAGAACTCAGTGACGTACCCACCGCCTTATAACGCCGTCCCGAGATCGAGATCTCCGGGGGCGGATCTCATGCCGCAGCACTCGTATCCTCTAACCCAGTATCTCCCTTATCCCTCTATGTACCCCACCGATGGTACTTACTCAACTTACCAACCCATGGAGTCCAACAGCCCCTACAGTCCTGCGACGTACTCTTCGGGATGTCCCTCTCGAATGTGATTATAGATACAATGCCCCCTTCTTTTTGTATTCTTATTCCCCCTCTCCGTTTTGCTGTCAATTGTTCTACGTCATCTTCACCGTGTTAGTGATTACTAGAAGGAATTTTTGTGCCTTTTTCCCGAGCATCGGGAGAGCTGGTCCCGATCTCATGTATTTCTGGAATGATGACTATGTATGATGATTTAACTAACATGCTTTCTTTCCTTTAACACGTGCTCGCAATATCTCTGTACATATTTCGGGCGCTCAGGAATTTCGTTTCAGACCAAACAGCGCATGGCATATGAGAGATCAGATTTATGTTTTGGCTTTTCCTCTTTTGTACTAGGCTGTTCCCACTTGGGGCATGGTTCCATGGTTCATAAGAACATAAAGTACCTCTGGAGATCATCAATGGTAATCCGAGATTTAGTACCGAGCACGGAGCACGGAGTAAAGATCAGGCTAAATTCAGATAGTGCTCCAATTCTCGTTTCAGAGTTAATCTCCTTGACTCCTGGATGCGAAAATACACATGTATCGCGTATAAACGTGCGCATTTATCTTATTTATCCCTTGCACGAACATGGCAAGCGAGCATCGGCGTCGATCAGCCTTGTTGATCGTCTGTCCTGTCACAGCCCAATCCGGTCCTTGCTTCCCTACAGCAGCCTCCTCCCCTTTGGAGACTTATCGTGAGATCTTCATGGGGGGCTGGAGTTGTCTTGCATGCCTCGTGCAGGGGGACTAACGACATTTTCTGTGTGCGTGGGTGTGTGATACGTGTAAACTATGGATGTTCTGCGATTATGTTAGAAGCGGGCTGAATCAACCCTGGGAGGTGAGAGTGTTCGGCAGCCGATCGTGAACCGGACAACCTCGGGAGACCAGGGTTGAGGTGATCTTAGTCCGGTATTGGATTTTAACTATCAGCCTCATATTTTTGATGTGGAAAATATCACCACAGTTTATGGAATAACCTACAAATTAATATTTACCCGGGTAAAGGGGCGGGCTGTGTAATCAAGGGATGACATGTTGCATTCCACGCTGGCAACACGCGAGGGTGAACTTTGTCTTAGCTTTTACCTCCCGGGTTTCTGTTTTGCTTTTTTCTTCTTTTTCTTCCTTTTTTGTGTATATTTTATTGAGCATATTCCTAATCATGTTCGCTTAACACATTCCAACCCTTGAATCGGCTATCGCGTGGTGAAGTCAACCGGCTCGGGTCGTGTGGAGCTTGCGTGTCTCTCGCGTGTAGGGTTTTGGCATTTGCATGCATCGCGAGCCTTTTAATACTGTGCCCCTCCCATTTGACTGGGTGCTTATTCTCTCTCGACTTCACGAAATTTATCATCTTCTTTATATTAAAGACATTATTAGATAGTCATGGAGGTTCGTGCCCTGTTAACTCTATACGACTCTCCACACGAATCATAATCTAACTCCACCCTAACAGACACAGCTGGACTGGAATGACTCCACAGACATCCTTCAAGGCATCATGGTTGGACACGAAGGACATGATCTGTCCGATTTTAGACCCTCGAATATCCCCTTCGATGCCGCAAACCCACTACTAGACCTCCAACTCGGATCGCTCGATCCAACAGTTAACCACCCACTCTTAAGCCAGTGGCCTTCACACCCCAGTGACCTATACTACTCCCAGTACGCTCACTCCCGTCTGATAGGCGACCAAGATGCCTGGAATCCGCTACTGGCCACCGGTGTCCCGGCTGCCTCATCCATCTCGCACTTGAACATGTCTGTTCAGATGCCCGACCAGGACTGCTGCCTCTCGCAACATCACTATAGCGAGCCATCTGAGAACGGGAGCCAGTATATAGATAGCTATCATTCCGCTGATTCCGGGTACGGTGGGACCAGCTGTGCAACGCAATCTGTTGTTGCTTCTTCGTACAGCGTGGACTCGAGCCCGCACGTCGAGATGACAGAGAATATGCCTACGGAGTCGGGGCCTTTGTTTGGTCATTCCAAGTATGGATCTGTGTCTGGGTCATCGTACACATCGGAGTTTATGGGCTCGCCGTCGCAGTTGGTGGATACCTCGATGCGATGCGATCATCCATCGTGCAAGTGGGTTGGGAAATGTCCTTCGGACAAAAGGTATATCGTTCTAGCCGCGATTTGAGAATAGTGATGGCAGGGGACTAACTTCCACAGGAAACACGAGGCTCGCCACAAGAAACTCTTCAAATGTGACGTTCCAAATTGCCCGCGGAAGGACGGCTTCGGCACCATTAATGATCTGGCCCGTCATAAAAAATGCGTTCACAATAAGGAGCCCGAGCGTGGGCCCAAGATGATGTACATGTGTTTTGGGACAAACTGCCCGCGCCCGAACAAGAGGTGGCCGCGTCTGGATAACTTCAAGCAACACTTGAACCGAATGCATCGAGAAGAGGATGGGGAGGCACTCCTTAAAAAGCGGGTTTCAAGTGAGACATCTAATGTTCCATGCACTAATTAATGAACAGGTCCATGGATTGGTACGAGACAGTCATCCTCCACCAACCAGAACAGAACTTCGACGAGCGTAGCTCAAGGGACGAGTCGGTATTAGAAGCGGAAGAAGATGAGGCGTCTGTCCAGTCAACCGATCTCGAGCCGGAATATGATTCCATGTCTCAACAAAGGACTGATATCTTCACATTTGGTGCTGCCACACCAAGACCCCCTCAGTATGGTACGCCGTCTCTCGCAGACTCGACTCCTTCTCAATCGCCTGCTTTTGGTTCCATGGGTCTGTCAAAAACGAGTCAAGATCCGTCCACTGAACGTGCCATCGCAAGGCCTGATGGATCGGTTGCAGACGCCGCTGATAACTTAATCAACGCCATGACAAAGATGATAAACAGCCGCGGGCGGAGATCAAGTCAGAATATGGATGAGGGAATCGATCTTGAGACCGACGCTGCTCAGCTCTCCCAACCCCAGCGGCAAATGCTACAGAAGTTGCTTTCGGTGGCATTGGAACGGTTATCTGACGAAAACGAAGCCACCGCCCAAGGTCCTGATAGCGAAAAACGTGGGTGGTTCCAATGTGACGCGTGCCCAAAGCAGACCCGGCTTCGCTGTGAAATGAAGTAAGTCACCCTTGACCCTTATTCTTATTAGTGTATTAACCACGGGTATCATTAGAAAGCACCAGAAGCGCCACGATCGACCCTACAGCTGTACATTCCCCCACTGTGCCAAGTCATTCGGCAGCAAGGCCGACTGGAAGCGCCACGAGAGCTCCCAGCATCTCGGTGTGCCCAGTTGGTTCTGCACGGAAACCGATGTGCAAACAGGCGCCTCGTGCGAGCGGCTGTTCTATCGACCCGACACATATACCCACCACCTGCGCCAGCATGGAATTCATGAATATCACGTCGCAGCTTGGGCTGGCAATCACCGGCTCGATCTGGCCGGCCAGTCAGATTTTTGGTGTGGATTCTGTAACCACAGAGTCACACTAAAGACCCATGGCCCCGAGGCCTTGGATGAGAGGTTTAATCATATTGATATTGAGCATTTCAAGAAAGGAGAGAGGGGCCAGGACTGGCGGTTCCCGTCTTCGTCCCTCGAGGGAAACGAGATGGATCAGACCAAGGATGCTGTGGTACAGACGCTTGATCACAGTCTAAAAGCTACAACGACGGGCGAGCGGAAGCGCAAATATGCTGCGGCATGACATACTAGGGTTTTTGAATAGTTATTGGAATCCTGGTTCCGTAATATAATAAGGATATTCTGCAATGTTTAGTTGATCGGGATCATCACAATGTATCTCCAAGTCTGGAAGTGCCATGACATTATTCACAGCCACAATATAATATAGTGCTAGGCATCAATGAAGCATAATATGGTACAGGTTTTCTCGAGATTCTTCTCAAGATTGTGTTCATTTCTGGGTGCTAGTGATCTCCCGGGCTTCTTTCTCTAGCACCGCCACTTTTTCTGCAGGAAGGGTTAGCGACATGCAAGATAGGGTAATGGAATGTATTAATTTGTGCTGTTCTCACCATTTTTTGCCACCTTAATCTCATCCATTTCCAATTTTAACCAAGTCCAATAAAGGACCTGGTAGACGAACACGCCCCCCAAGAAGATCTTGGCGAAGGGACCAGCAAAGGCTCGATATTTATTCATCTAGACACACAAAGTTAGAAGATTGCAATTAAATACTGCGGTCTGGAAGAAAAATATGTACACACCCCTTCCTTGTATGCACTTGGTTTCTGAGATGAGTTGAATGTGGCTTGTGTGGAGGTGAAGGTGCGTCGGCTCATGGGAGCTCGAGCGGATTGGAAAGACATCACAGCCGGTGCCAACCGACGAGCTGGTTGCGAAAACATGTTGTGATCTTAATAAGCCGTTGCCTTCTTTCTCGTTGTTGATATCCGAGAAGACGAGCTAGGGTGATGTTGAAGTTCGCATCCTATTTCGGGTATATCGGTCTTGGCGTTGCTTCCTCAGGTGTCAATTTATTCGTCTCTCTTCCTCTCGTGATTAAGTTGGGTATACAATCCAAAAATAATCGACAGAAAAGGTAAGTACTGCAGCACATATATTTAACTAGCGTGGATTTGCTATATATGGGGTTGAAATGGCTAGTACTTTGATTACCCAGGGGTGACTCTTCCAGTATATGTATTCATGACCAATTTTCTCTATCAAAGTTCAGTTTTTTCTAGCATTTGTCGACTATCACATAGAGGTGACTTTTTGGGTGTCGGCGCTCGACTACCTAATGATGTAATGTAGAGTTAACCCTTTGCCTTGAAAGCTAACTCCCTTCATATCTAATTTATCTCCAAATTGTGTCCTCCAATATGGTCTTCAGAACAGAGACTTGGCGGATTGAACGCAAACGAATTGGATGGACAGAGTACAAATTTCTGTATAGAAAAGGCTATAAAAAAGCTCGTTGTGGGCTCGATCTCTTCGTACAGCTCATCATTGCTGATTACCATGTCCGTGAACTTGCTCAGCAGAAGGAAGCGCTGCAAGAAAAGGTTCGGGCACTCCAAAAACTGCAAAAGTACCGGTGAAGACGAAGTACAGCTCGAGAAACTGGATAAAACGCAAGAGGTGCTCCAGAAGGAATACTGGTATCAGGAGTGTGAGCTTCACAAGTGGCAAAGCAGCATTCCCGGTGGCCCTATGAAACTTGCCTATGAATCATTAAGAAAGAATCCGAAATGGTATATGCAAAATGAACTGATCAAGGATTGTGCTGGGAGAGGTGGTTGCTGCGGGCGTGAATGCGGATGCTGCGAGAAACGCGAGTCTACTCCTGAAAAAAGTATGGGAGCCGGTCACTGCACTACTGGGTGTGCATGCTGCTCGAGCTTCCGAGGATGTGAGCTCACTGCACAAGAGAAGAAGAATATCAGAGATGCTCTGAGAGCGGCCCTCAAGTATTCAAATAGTGCTTATCTTCTCTCAATGTCGCGTGCTTACATTATAAGGGACCGGAAAGTCTAGGAGAGGATTGAGGAGGTCGACTTGGCGTCAAAGCTGGCTAAATGGAAGGAAATTATCGGAAGGAAGTAGATGGCTACTCGTGAAGTGATGCTTTTGACACTATTGCTTATTTGGAGATTCAACTGTTGAGATATACACACATGGTCAACTAAATCCATTGCTATCCTAGAAATTACTATCCCTCCAGATAAAAAGATTTCCCTGTGATGTCGCGATGGCAATGTAAGTGGTCTCGTCACTTGTTAAGATTAGATATTGAAGTCTCCAGGGCTTTTATCGGCGCTGTAGTGCGACATGAATAACATCAATAGGTATATCAATGAAAAACAAATATCACGAGAAAGAAACTAATAGATTCTCAATTGGCTTGGTGAATGGGTCGATGAGTGTCGATGCACGTCGATCTTCTAGTGCAGGGGCACGAGCCACTGCTGAGTCAGCGGCACATGATATCAGGTCCGGTCGAAAGCGTCGCAGAGAAAAAGACAACGAAAAGGAAAAAACAAAGGGCCCTATTCTCGTCTCCTTCATGTTCCAAATTGCCCTCTGACACCTCCTGCCATCATTGTATCATGTCATTCCCCCACACCTTCATCAATCCTGAATGTGCCGTATTGGGGCATCAAAATGGTTAATAGAATCCATTTAGTCCATTCAGGAGGAGAATGGAGCTCTACAATAGCTCGATTCATGGGGGCTTGATTCATCGGCTGAAGGGTGACAATGGCTATTGAAGCAATTCCCCCCATTGAGAGAGGGTGGCACGTGCACTTTGTTGACTAATCGGTGCGCCACGATAAGTGGCTGATGAATTCAGGCAGTCAGCCCCAATGAGCGCGAGTCCTTTCCGCCCTTCTTCCCTGAAGTCTTCGTCCCTCGATCTCGCATCGTCTTCTACTTTCTTCTACTTGCTGCAATTATTTCTGTGTACTGCGCATTTGTCCTGGTGGCTGACAGCTTTCCGACACGTTTGTTTTCCCACGCGTTCCCGAGTCCGTGAGACCCTTCCATCTCTGCCCCAATTGCGCTCCACCACCGTGCCGTCTCCGCTAACATATTGATCAGCAATTGTCGGGAAGAAAGTGCCACGGTTACTGCTGTGACAGGAATATTCTTTCCCTTTGATCGAGTGGTCTGGCTGTTGCTGGCGACAACTGAACCATTCGTAAGTGTTGTCCCTCTGCCCGCATCGCGCAACGTCGACGATCCGCCTTTTCATCTTTGCGTCTTCCTTGTCAGCTAGGCATTTGACCCTCTTGACTGTGTTTTCATCGTACTTCCCAAATTGGAGCGTTGCATGCTGACGTTGTGTTTCAAAGTGATCCCCTAATCACCAAAACTACGCCATGGCTCGTGGCGCAAAGCGTACCCTGGACGAGGTCGCCATAAAGTCCGACTCCGATGACGAGGACTACAGTGATCATGCTCGTTATCCCCGTTCGACCGGCCGGAAGTCGAAGGCCAGCCCCAAGAAAAAGTCGCGGCCGGCCACAAAAAAGAGACGGCGCGACTCAGACGACGGTCTCACCTCGGACGAGGAAGAACTGTCCGAGGATTTTGACTTCGACGAGGTGGAAGAAGAATCGGAGGAAGAAGTCGAACGCAATGTCAGAGGAACGGCCCGTCGACGAACCACCCAGAGCCGTCGCCCGCGCTATGAGGAACCTGATTCGGGAGAAGACCTGCTCAATGATGACGGCGAGAGTGAGACACGAGCTCCTACTCCTTCTCCTCCACGCAAGAGCACCGTCATCAAGTTGAAACTCCCGCCCAATTACTTGGCCTTCACTAAACGTGTAACCCGCCGTACTCGTGACGCCTCAGAGGATATCTACGCCCTTACCAACTCTGGTCGTCATATGCACACTGTTGAGCGAGGTACACATACTCCAGAAGCCGAAAACCCATCCCCAACTCGCCGTGTTTCCAGAGTTGGCCGCATGGCCAAGCGCACGATCATTGATGAAGACGATGAAGATGAAGACGCCGAAGGAGATGAGGATGCTGAAGGTGATGAGGACACTGAGGAAATCATCAATGAAACAACTATTCAGGGCTCACAAATGGAGGTACTGGAAAGTGACGTGCCTCAAGGCGGCGCTGAAGGTGATACATTGCCACTGAATGATGGAGATCACGACCCAATTGAGAAAGTAATGCCGGATGAAGATGTTGTTCCTGAATCAGAAAATGGCGATTCGAAGAATGATCATTCCGAGCAGACTGATGAACCTCCAACAACTCGGCAACGAGGCAGGCTCCACCACGAGCAATCTCTTGAGGAGAATACCGCGCAAGGCGCGGCGACAAATGAAGAATCGCACCTACGTCGGTCCAGCCGTAAGCAGCCGTCTCGAAGCTCACAGCGGAAAAGCAAAAATGAAGAAAGTGATTTCGAGCCAGAGGAGGAGCCATCCAATGATGAAGAGGAAGACTCGGACCCTGAATCGCGTGCCTCTCCTCGTAAAGAAATTCAAGCTCGCGAGGAAGCGGAGGATAGCTCTGCCAGTCGGCGTCCTGGCCTACGCCAACGGCCTTCTCGAACCCGTGCGCCCTCAGAGGAGGCAGAGGAACTCGCCGAAGAATTGGAAGACCTTACTGGCCGTGCCCGTCGCCGTGCGAAGCAAGCGGTCGTGTATGAGAAACCGCGTCGCAACCGAAAGGACGTTGATTATCGCATCATTCGACCTGAAATGTTTCAACCTAATGAAGACACTGACCATGAAGTGACAGGGTCTCCATCCCGGCGTGGTCGTGGAGGTGGAGGCTGGCAGCGTACTTTGTTCTCCACATTAGGCCCATTCGGTGGCGGTGGTAATTCAGCGATTCTCGGTGTTCCTGGTGGCCCTACTGCAGTTGGAGGCGCAGACAGCGATAGCAGTGATGACGAAGGTGCCCCACAGCCGAATCGTGCTCCTGGTGTTGGAGTTGCAGCCACCCACAACCAGTCGGCTGATCCTGCTCAGACCTCATCCGGCACGCCTGCAAACCTTGGCAAGTTCAATAACAAGCAAGCTTTAGCTGACGCGGATCCCCTGGGGGTTGACATGAATGTCAACTTTGACCATGTGGGTGGTTTGCAAGGGCACATTGACCAGTTGAAAGAAATGGTTTCTTTGCCGCTGCTGTACCCGGAAATATTCCAGCGTTTCAAAATTACCCCTCCTCGCGGTGTTCTATTCCACGGTCCTCCTGGTACCGGAAAGACGCTCATGGCTCGGGCTCTAGCCAACAGTGTCAGCTCAGAAGGACGCAAGGTAACTTTTTACATGAGAAAGGGTGCGGATGCATTAAGCAAATGGGTCGGTGAGGCCGAGCGACAACTTCGGCTTCTTTTCGAAGAAGCTCGCAAGAACCAGCCTAGTATCATCTTCTTTGATGAGATTGACGGTAAGAGAGGCCATTCTGAGCATAGTTGACAATAGCTAATATTCTATATTAGGTTTGGCTCCCGTGAGATCGAGCAAACAAGAACAAATCCATGCCTCGATTGTCTCGACCTTACTTGCATTGATGGATGGCATGGATGGTCGTGGTCAGGTGGTTGTCATCGGTGCCACCAATCGACCTGACTCTGTTGATCCTGCTCTTCGCCGCCCTGGTCGTTTTGACCGTGAATTTTATTTTTCGCTGCCTAATCTCGAAGCACGCCGTGCTATTCTCGACATTCACACCAAGGAATGGGATCCTCCCCTTCCAAGCAATATCAAAGATGATCTGGCGGATATGACCAAGGGTTATGGCGGGGCTGACTTACGAGCCCTTTGCACTGAGGCTGCAATCAATGCTGTACAAAGAAGATACCCTCAAATCTACAAATCAGACAAAAAGCTCGTGATTGATCCGAAAACAATCGATGTCGCCCCCAAAGATTTCATGCTAGCAATCAAGAAGATGGTGCCCTCTTCAGAGCGGTCTACCTCATCTGGTGCGAGTGCCCTCCCCCCAAGCATTGAACCCCTGCTTCGTCGTCCATTATTTGAAATCAAGTCTTTGCTCTCCGAGATACTTCCACAGCGAAAGAAGCTTACTGCTCTCGAGGAGGCTCAATATGAGGAGCCTGATGATGGTGCAGGCTTCACCCGCGAGCTCCTTCTTCAGGAGTTTGATCGCTCGCGTGTCTTCCGACCCCGACTCCTCCTTCGAGGCCCTCACGGAATGGGCCAGCAATACCTCGCCGCCGCGCTGCTGCATGTGTTTGAGGGCCTGCATGTACAGGCCTTCGATCTCCCAACCTTGCTGAGTGACTCAACCCGCTCTCCCGAGGCAGCTGTCATCCAGCTATTCACGGAGGTCAAGCGACACAAGCCGAGTGTGATTTACATTCCCAATATTCAACTGTGGTTCCAGACTGTCGGACCTACTGTGATTTCTACTTTCATGAGTCTTTTGCGGTCGGTGCCGCCTTCTGACCCAGTTCTTTTGCTTGGCATTCTTGAATCACAAGAAGAGGAAGTGGATGATAGTCTAATAAAGAGCATGTTCGGGTTTTCAAAGAAGAACCTGTATGATCTATCTGCTCCAACTCATGATGCGCGTCGTGAATTCTTTGGAAAAATCATTGAATTCGTCAAGACACCTCCGAAGGGCTTCCCGAATCCAGAAAACCGCAAACTTCGTCAGCTGGAGAAATTGGAAATCGCGCCACCTCCGCCTCCCAAGCCCGAGGCAGAACTCACCAAGGAGGAGATCAAGGCTCAGAGGAAGAAAGATTACATATCCTTGAATCTTCTGAAAACTCGAATTCAGCCTATTATGGATCAAGTCAAGAGGTACAAGCGTTTTAGGTCGGGCGTGATCGATGAATCCCAAATCCGATACTTGTGGGAGGAAGAAAATCCCAACATTGTTACCAGTGATCTTCCACCGGATCAGCAAGATACCTTTCGGCCTTATGAGAAGGCATATGACAAGCATGGTGTGTTGGGTCTCCGTGAAACTGCCACTGGGAAGTTCTACTACAACCTAGAGATTGTGACAATTGAAAAACGCCTTGCAAACGGATACTACAAACGCGCCGTCGACTTTGTGGCGGATATCAAGCGAATGGTCAAAGATGCTCGACAGACTGGTGACCCGGAACGCATCTTGCGGTCAAGTGAACTTTTGACTAATGTCGAAGTTGATATCGCTAGTGTTATGGTAGCCGAACCAGCTCTTATGGCAGAATGTGAGCAGGTCTACCTGCGTGAGATGGCTCGTGAAAAGGAGGCCGCGGAGCGTGGCAAACGTGCTCAGATGGAGAATGCCCCTCCCCCCATTCCTGAGCCTATTATTGTGTCGCACGGCACGACTGAATCCAGCCTATCGACTGGCCCAATTCAACCCGTCGGGGACAATGAGGATGTTGGGAAAGCGACTTCGCGCCCTGTTACGCCCGCACCCCCGTCCAAGAGTTTCGCAAATGGAAGTCATCACGGCGATGGTTCGGATCTCAACGAGTTTGGTTCCCATGCTGTCGGCGCGAGCAATGGTACCCATGGAGATGGAGACGGCGACATTTTCATGTCCAATTCTGATGACCACTCGGGTAGCAAGGATACCCAGGGAAGCTCGTTTGGGCCATCAGCACAGCCCAAGCCCCCTTATTCCCACACTGCGCCTTCTCAGCAGATCCGTCGAGAATCTGGTCTTTCCAGCTTCTCTCAGCGAGGCCCCATGACTCCAATGGCCCCCGGATCCCAGCCAGCTGATTACACTAATGAAGCATCCACCACCCAGACGACTTCTGATAAGAAATCCTCTGAGCATCTGTCGAATCAAAACTACCACACTCAGAGCCCTCATGTCTCAAGAACCGAATACCCCGATCTTACTCCATACCCCGATCGCGTGTCACAGGAAGACCATCTGCCCGACACCCAGCAAAATGACAGCAGCCAGCCTTCTCCCCACCCCCGGGACTCGCTGCTTAGCAATGCAGATACCCAAGAGAATAGCGGGTTGAATGGAAGCCAGTCGCAGTCGAAACCGCAACCCCCGCTGTTCGATGCATCCAACATGCCAGCAACCAATGCTTCGGCTAGCTTGCAATTGATCCTGAACGAAGAACCCCATGAACCATTCGTTCTTGATCTTGAAGTTGTTGAGCGTCTGCACACGCAGCTAACCCTGTCAACTAGCGGATTCTCAGTGGAGCAGCTGGAGCAAATCAACACCAATCTAATGGACTATGTGTGGCATATGCGTGGAGAATGGAACCGTACTCGCGTCGCCGATGGTCTCGGCAAAACATACAATACAGTCCTGGAAGACATGCAGGCGATGCAGGAGATCGGACCTATCAGCCAACAGACCAAGGATATCTTGGCCAACCTGAGTT